GTAATAACCAAGTATCTCTGTTGGTGTCAATACGTACGCAATCTTAGCCTCGTAAGAAACAGAGAAGTTGTTTCCATTTGATCCTTGATGCATTTGGTGCCCAAAACTTGTAGAAGGTAGCAAAGGAAGTTTAATGTACCATTTTTATTTAGTCTCAATTCAACAATGTCTCTCTCAACCCTAAATCATCAACGTTCAGAGGTTCAGCTGCTTTGTTTATTTTCCTGCAACCTATGCTTAAGTCATGGAGATCAAAGTGGAAAAATCATGTTTATTTACGGGGAATATTCCTCGTGTAAAACCCCATGTAGTGGGCATTAAAGAAAGTATTGAAGTCTAACCTCTTTGCAAGAGATCAGTCATAATTGGATGCATTCATCCGCACCATATCCTAATGACATTCTCATTATATTTGGACTTCACATTCATTGTGAACTGTTTTAATTTTCTCGATGTTATTCAGTTCTGTTTTAGTGTTTCCTTTTTTGCAAGGCTATAGGAATATTTTTCAACACAAGAAAATAGACTAAATTTACCGTTTCTATATAAGTGAGAGACTATTATTAACACTTTATTTCTAAAACTAATGCACTGTCTTAATTTTCTTCCCATTTACATCTTCAGGTTGCAGCCTTCAGAGCCATGGTTAACATTTTAACAAGGTACATTTGTCAACTTTCATAGAAACAATGTTTTTATATGTGAGGAACTGGATTGAAACTAGGTACATGCTGCACATGTGCCTTCAGATTTGCATTTATTGTCAGTTTGTCAGGTATTTGTGTGTATGTAGCATTAGGTTTTTATGTGTAATACTTGAGCAATAATTTTCAGGGTGCAGCATGAGTCACTTGATGAAGCTGAAAGAAATGCTTACCTTGTAAACTATGTGGATTATGCTTTTGATGATTTTGGTGGTCGCCAACCACCAGTTTATCCTGGCTTGGCAACAGTTTGGGGAAGCTTGGCTCGGAGTAAGGTAAGCTTCTTATAATGTAGGCTTCTCTTCTGCAATGTATTTTGCCCTCATAACATTTTACCAGGATAATTTGCTTTGTTGAGTCATTGTCAACAAAATATAGCAAAAGAAGAATGTGGAAAGCTTAACATTGTCTAAATTTGTATTTTACCAATGAATTGGACTCAAGGGCCACTATGATGTAACTGAATAGTTTCTAAATTGATTCCTAGCCGTATGTCATGAAACTCTTTAGTTACTTCTCAAGCATATGCATATAAGGGCTATTGAAGGCTTTCAATGAAATTAGTATCATTCTATAAGTCAAGTTTTCAATTTATCATATCGCTTGGTCTACTGTTTCTCTTGTGTAAGGCATTGACCTCATCCCTTATCAGTAGGTCACTGATTTTTTTCTACCCTCCAGGCCTCCTAATTCATTATTTCTCAGCACAAGATAAGATATAGTCTTGTAAATTCCTTCGCTGGTATTTTTATTTGTTTAGAAATTATGCTTTCAGAATTGCAAATCCGATGCCCATCCACACAAGCACTCGAGTCACAGATATGAAATAAGTAAATAACTATATTCTTTTGGTCACTAAGAGTCTAAGAGATAGCTTTCTAAAGAAGTATGAAGTTTCATGTTGGAGATAGCTTGCAGCATCTGAGGACTTCCATGTTTCTCCCACTTGCATCTAAATTCTTCAACTCTTTTAACAAGTTTTAGATTGGTGTCATAAAAATCGAGGTAGCAAAATAGAAGTTCAATAATATTTATCAAGTGCAAAGTTGAAGTAATGGCAAACTGAAAGAGATTAAATGCATTGAATTCTAGAAAAACAACCCAACCAAACTTTACTATTGTATGCATTCATTCATGTATTATGCATTTTCTTGAGTTTTGATGTTATCAGGAAGCGATTTCATGCATAATCGTACTTTAAACATCACATGTCATTAGCATTAGGAGTTCTAATTCTTCTCTTGTGGAATGTGCTTTTGATTCTTACCCTCATAAATACTCATTGTAGGCAAAAGGCTATCGTGTTGGGCCTGTATATGATGATGTCTTGGCAATGGCTTGGTTTTTTCTAGAGTTAATCGTAAAGTCTATGGCATTGGAGCAGGCTCGATTATTCTATCATAACATTTCATTAGGTATGTTCTTACTGTGACTGATCATTGTTTGTATCTGCCTTGTTTTTTTTGAGTGCTTTAACAATTCATTCAGCTTTATGTTGACACTTGTGCATTTTGTTTTGTGAATGACTATATTATTTGAATGTGATGTTTTGAAAAATTTTCTTATTGATTTAATTAGATAGAAAAACAAGAACAATGAAGCATGTCCCAATGCCTTAAAACTTCCTGGCATCCAATTGTACTGAACTATCATCATTGTTCTGCTTGTGAAAGTGAATAAGGTTTTAAGCATTTGGTCTAAGACTGCATGTGTTTCTATCTGTTTTCTGAATATGCATGTATCATGCAGAATTTTCCAATATTATATTTATATGCTGATATTTCTGAGTCAAAGAAATTCTTTGATTTGTTTTTTATTTCTACAAAACATGTATAATGCAATATTTTTATTTATCACAAAGCAGTCAATATGTTTGCCTAACAGCCCTACCCTATTTTCATGGTCCCAACAACTGCTTTTGCCATTTCTTAGAGCAATGAGCAAGAACCCATGTTAACTCTATCAAGGGATGTGCCCATAGGAGAGCTGAGAGACCCACTCTTACCACACCATTTTTTTATGTGCATGAAAAAGTCCTCATCTGATTTAGGAGGATGTTGCAGTAAAACTCAAATTCCATCTAGTTGTAGACATAGAAACACAATCGCATTTGGGCATTGCAAATGATGTATGCTCCTTAGTTAAACGAGATATATTGAAGTGTAGGACCTTCAACGCTACCGACTCTCCTAAAAGCAATTGCCTCCGCCTACACATAGCCAACATGAAGTCCATGTTACGAGGGTTCTAATTTTAGTTTTGTACTAAGGGAAAAATTAATTGCATAACTCATTATGTAAAAACAAATAGTGAAGTTCATCTTAGTATGAATAGTATTTGCCAAAACTCTGACGTTAAGGATCACCATTTGAAGGTTTTGGTGCAGATTTGGTGCACCTACAATTCTTTGGAGGGTGATGAAACTAATCTATGGCAGACTGGATACACTCATTAAGCTAATTTTACCTCCCTTGCCAACCTATCTGAGTATCTGATGGAAATGGCTCATATGCCATTAGTTTCAGTTGTGGATACATGCATGTAAGATTTCCAAAAAATTACTATAAGGTGACATAAATTTTGTTGTAAAGACTCAAAGGCCCTCTTATTTTTCAAAAGTACCAAAAAAGCTATTAAAGACTTAGAGGGGACATCCCGATGCTAGCATCTCAATGACTGGCAAACAAATGATCTGAGAAACAAAAAATACTGTAATAAAAAAGAGACACCTGAGTCTCCATCTAAGAAAGCTGTGGATTGGAAGAAGCAAGCAGGTGATTTCCCTAGGGTTCTCAGTTCGCCAGCAGGGTTCCTAGTTTGCTCTGCTCTTAGGCGCAGGTAAGGTTCTTCTGGCTGTTTTCGTAATGGGAAGAACCAGGTTGTAAAATGCATTCACAGGAGTAATGAATTGATGAACCAGCAAAGAACAAAAAAAATTAGAGAAAATGGAGCAAAAAAATCCACCAATTGAAAGCTGCTTCTCGATCAGCTCTCGATCAAAACCCTACTCGCAAAGTTAATGTTTGATAAAAAAAATAAAAGTTCTTGTATTAAGATGATATGTACATATCATTGTGCTAGCCAAAGTAGCCATGGAGACTAAGAAAACTGGAGGAGATGACACTATGTAGTAGTCTCAGGATTTTGAACGCTAGGGAGGAGCTTTGGAGTATTGATAAATCACTATCAAAGGGCAGTTTGGGCTGTTTATTATTATTTTTATTATTATTATTGAAATGCTGGTGCTGGAATGTCCCCTATAAGCCGTTACAATTAAATTTTGGGACAGTTCCCATGACATTGCCCGGCAATGTCATGGGATGACCCGGGGCGCTCCGTTGCCCCGTTCGTAAAATTGACAATTCCTACCCCCAACCCCTTATCTCCCCCACCTCGCCCCGACCCGAACACACCCCCACCCCCTTCAATTGCACCCCACAAGTTAATTTTGACTTTAGAGTCAAAATTTGACTCCAAAGTCAAAATTAACTTGTGGAGTGCAATTGAAGGGGGTGGGAGGTGTGTTCCGGTCGGGGCAAGGTGGGGGGGTTTACCGGGGGGGTGGGGGGGTTGGGGGGGTAGGAACCGTCAATTTTACGAACGGAGCACCGGAGCACCCCCGGGTCATCCCATGACATGGGGTTCTAATGTCATGGGAACCCCACCGATTAAATTTAATAGCTTTTGAGTATATTTGAAAAATAGGAGGACCTTTAAGCCTTTACAACAAAACTTATGTCACCTTATAGTAATTTTTGTAAGATTCCTTATGGGTGACAAAGTTGTAATCACAAATGACATGGTTTAAGTTGGGCCTGGCGTAAAACCCAAGGTGGCCTGTGGTTTAAGGCATTTGTTTATTAAATTTGGCCTTTTAGCTATGCTTTGTAGATATATCTAGATGAGGACCATCTGTGGAATAAAAAAATGAAGGTCAACAAAGTTTTGTCTTCTCTGCTTTGTACATTTGTAAATTTCTTTTTCCACTTATGTTTTAGGAGGAGATTTTGTTTTCTTGTATTCTATGGTCATCTGAGTCTATTCTTGTTTAATTTATTTTCTTCCTTTACACACACCACACACCTAAGAGCCGTGGCTACCATTATCTGTATTTTTTTTCATACTGCCTTTCCTGGAAAATGATGCCAACATTGTGGCGGTGCATGATTACAACTTTGGGTGTATTTGATCCCAAACCTGTGGAGAGAATCGACAACCTGTTTGATAATAGATGACAACATAGGCATAGGAATGTGGATTTAACATATGAAAAGCACATATATAGGCTGCACAACCATCCACTAGTTGCACTGTCTGTTATAACTAAACTGTATTCTGCATTGCATTTTACCTCTTTTCTTTCCCTTTTGGTCATAGGTGAAGATTTCCCCCCAATGCAACTGAAAGAAGGTGTTTTTAGATGTATTGTACAATTATATGATTGTCTTCTAACTGAAGTTCATGAGCGTTGCAAGAAGGGTCTAAGCTTAGCGAAACAGTTAAACAGCAGCCTGGCTTTCTTTTGTTATGACCTATTGTCGACCATCGAGCCTCGACAAGTTTTTGAACTGGTATATTTTCTTCTTGATTCTTTTCGGCCTTTATTTTCCTTTATTATGCAGTTGTATACGTGTGTGTGCCAATATGTCAATTCACATGCATGATATATCTCATCCGTATTGTGTTACGAGTATTTTAGAAGTGAGGGAATAATACTTGAGGCATAATCTAGCCTCCATAGCTTTTGTGGTGCAATAAGGGTTTGACTTGGTGTCTTGATACAAAAACGTATCATTGGTGCTTTTATTGAAAGTCAATACTACGGAAAGGGCTACCTATAGGTTGGGTTAAGGTGCCATACTTTAAGGATGTTTTACTGAATGCTGATAGATGAGTGACGCTAGCAAAAGTCCAAAACAGGATATGTCTAGCACTGTGTGTAAAAGGCGGGAAGCCACCATGGACTTCAGTTCTTAAAGAGTTTGGCAATATTACAAGTTGCACATTGGTGCCTTCATAAATGAGGGAGTAGTACTTAAGTATTTGATGAACCTCCACTTTTGAGCTAGCTTTTGTTATGGAAGGGGGGCTAGACATCATAGATGAGCACTGTCAGACAGTCCCCCCCTTTGGTCTACTCTGTTACAATGAATGTCATTTTTCTTCTTATTTTATTTTCAATAACTGAAGGTCCTAGGTTCACTAGTGGCTTTTCTTCTAACATCCAAAGCTTTACTTTCTAGGCAAAGTATATTTCCCTTCACACATGCTTCCATCTACCTCATACTCCGTATCATGTATGATGTATTACTCTCCCATTTAGTGATCGCATTTTATTGTTTTGCCTACCTTGGGTTTAAGATATTTAGCTTGTCTCTTCCCCTTCAGGTATCCTTGTATCTTGATAAGTTCTCTGGGGTGTGCCAATCAGTTCTGCATGATTGCAAGTTAACATTTCTGCAGATTTTATGTGATCATGATCTATTTGTTGAAATGCCTGGACGGGATCCTTCAGATAGGTAAAGTTTTCAAGTATGATTATCCTCTACATTAATATTTTGCTAGAACACCGATTTTTGTCATTTTCTTAAAAAGATTAATTTGTTTAGTTAGCCTGTGCTTCCATGATTTATTTATTTACTCCATTCATACCTCAATAATTTTTGCCCTCTTTTTTTGGATGTCCCTAAGGGTGGGTTTGGTGAACGAGACAGATCTGGATTTTGATATCTCTGACATCAACTTCCCAATTAATCTTTTCTGGATGAATAGCTATACTTGCAATTCCAATATTTGTGTTTGGAAGTGATTTGTTTTTAACTTTTGCCTTGACCATGTGGAGTTATGTTAGATTATCGAACTAACAAGGTTTCACATGTGACTATTCCAAGTTTTCTTGGCTATTGTTAATAGTTTGTTTGTCTAAACGTCACTGTTATGGCATCACTTTTGTATCTTTCATTTTGTTGATATTAATTCTGCAATATATATTTGCATATCTCGTTTCATCATAGTAGTAACATATACTCCTTACATCATAATTTTAATTCTTATGTGTCTATGTGATCATTTCCACATGCCAAACGCCATTAACAGATGAATATAATTTCAGGAATTACCTATCAACTGTCTTAATTCAAGAGATTTTCCTTACTTGGGATCATGAAGACTTGTCAATGCGCACAAAAGTGAGCAAACTGCCACACATTGATGTCATATACTCCATGTGATAACCTTGGATTGTCACTTTGTTCTCCGCTAATTAGTTTTAGAAGCCAATTAGAGAAATTATATTCACTGCTTGGGATGGCATTGCTTTAATTTATTTCCAGGCAGCTAGAATTTTAGTGATTCTAATGTGCAAGCATGAGTTTGATGTTCGTTACCAAAAGCCAGAAGATAAGCTATACATTGCCCAGCTGTATTTTCCACTTATTGGCCAGGTGTGGAGCTCTTATCTTTAATAAATTTGTAAGCATTTATCTGTTCTATATTAACTTCATGTGTGTCTAACTTGAGTTTTTTTATATTCATGATTTTCATTGCGATCACGCAGATTCTTGATGAAATGCCTGTATTCTACAGTCTTGGCTCAATTGAAAAGCGTGAAGTCCTGGTTATTTTTCTTCAGATAGTACGCAATTTGGACGATGCATCGCTTGTTAAAGCCTGGCAGCATAGTATTGCTCGTACCAGATTATTTTTTAAACTCTTGGAAGACTGCCTAATGCATTTTGAGGTATAAAATTTGTATTCTTCTAGCTAAATTATTACTTACCTTTATCATGTAGCCAAAATGTTTTACTTCAAGTATGCTAGTGATCTTTTGCAATTTGTGAGTGTTTTTAATTCTTAAAGCAATTTCCATTTGTTATTTATGATAGTTTATATTATTCTTCTGGTGTGGTAAGCAATTTGTTGCATTCAATAGATTAAAGAGAAAGATATTCAGTATAATTTACCAAGAATATAATGGAATGTTCTAGTTTAGTGTTCTAAATTTTCTTGTTATATGTTTTTGCAGCATAAGAAACCCACTACTTCCATTATTGTGGGAAGTAGCTCCCGTAGTGTGGTGGGGGAAGTTCCTGCATCACCAAAATATTCTGATAGACTTTCACCTGCCATAAATCAGTACCTCTCTGAGGCTGCACGACAAGAAGTTAGAGTGTGCTTCTTCTTTTCTCTTTATTTCTCTTTTTCACCTGCAGTCAGATGTTGCACGTCACACACACACACATGCTTCAACTATTTTTTTTTCCTTTTCTAGTGTTTCAACCAGTCTCTAAGTGTCTTGAAGTTCCTGATGTAGCAGCAGGGAACACCCGAGAATGGTTATTTGTGGCAAAGGGTCAATTCACAGCTAAGTTCGCCTAGTCAGCCATACTCTTTAAGAGAAGCGCTTGCTCAAGCCCAGTCCTCTAGAAGTGGAGTTTCAGCACAAGCACTAAGGGAATCTTTGCACCCAATGTTAAGGCAAAAACTGGTCAGTATTAATTTGATTGTAGTCCAGAATTGTATTTACGGTTTTACATGCCTATGACTGCATATGTCTTTGCACTCATACCTTTGTCTAGGATAATACACTAGTTTCTTCCATCTGCTAATAAAATCATGATCACTTCAGGAACTTTGGGAGGAAAATGTAAGTGCTGCTATCAGTCTTCAAGTGTTGGAAGTCACCAATAAGTTTTCAAGGAATGCTGCTTCCCATAGCATTGCAACTGATTATGGAAAACTTGATTGTATCACATCCATATTTATGAGCGTCTTCTCACGCAACCAACCACTCTCTTTCTGGAAAGCTCTCTTTCTGGTGTTCAATAGTGTTTTTCAGCTCCATGGAGCTACCCTCATGGCAAGGGAAAATGATCGCTTTCTGAAGCAAATTGCATTCCATCTTCTACGTCTTGCTGTTTTCCGAAACGAGAATATCAGGAAAAGGGCTGTAATTGGCATTCAGATACTTATCCGCGTAAGTGTTAATGAATTAAATTTATACTCCATCCCTTTTTTTATCTTCATTTTTTCGGTTTATGTCCGTCACTTCTCCTCTTTCCTTTTAAGAAACGAGTTCTGTGGTTGATATTGTTTCTTTCTAAACCAATCTTAACCGTGCAAAGTCAAATTATGAGATAAAATAGGGATGGCGAGAGTATATTTTATTTTCCCCTTTTTGTTTCATTGGTTTGACTATTTCTCTCGCTTATGATCATGATCATAAACCATCAAATTGCTTTTTCCCCCCAGAGTTCCTTCTCTTGCTTTTCACAAACAGCAAGATTGAGAGTAATGCTAACTATCACACTGTCGGAGTTGATGTCTGAAGTCCAAGTAACACAAATGAGGTCAGATGGGACACTTGAAGAGAGCGGGGAAGCTCGTCGGCTTCGAAAATCACTGGAGGAAATGGCTGATGAACATAAGAGCCTTGGCTTATTAGTTGAGTGTGGGCTTTCAGGAAATGTGCTTGCTGCTTTTCCAGAAGGATTAGAGGGAAACAGGTGGTCCTGGTCAGAAGTAAAAAAACTTTCAGACAGTCTTTTAATGGCACTTGATGCAAGCCTGGAACATGCACTTATGGTACAGAATGAACTCCACATCTGAGTACTAATTACCTAAATGTGAATATAATTTCTCTAAACTCATAATATTCCATCACACTCCTTGTTTTTGGGCTATCCACAGGCATCTGTAACAAATGTGGACAGATATGCAGCAGCTGAGAGTTTTTATAAACTGGCAATGGCATTTGCACCCGTGCCAGATCTGCACATAATGTGGTTGCTGCATTTGTGTGATGCTCATCAGGAGATGCAATCTTGGGCTGAAGCTGCACAGTGTGCTGTTGCTGTTGCTGGTGTTGTGATGCAGGTATACTCTTTCTATTCATTACTTTCTTCTATGCACAATAATTAAGGCTGGTGGTATGTATAACATGGATCTAAATAAATCTGGAATGACTATCCCCCACCCAAGGCCCTTGTGAGCAGGAACGATGGTGTTTGGAGCAAGGACCATGTAAGTGCCCTACGCAAGATATGCCCCATGGTCAGCAGCGACATCGCCCCAGAGGCCTCGGCTGCAGAAGTGGAAGGGTACGGCGCATCAAAACTCACGGTGGACTCCGCTGTCAAATACCTACAGCTAGCAAACAAGCTCTTCTCTCAAGCCGAGCTCTACCATTTCTGCGCAAGCATCCTAGAACTCGTGATCCCGGTTTACAAAAGCAGAAAGGCTTATGGACAGCTATCAAAATGCCACACCATGCTCACGAACATCTACGAGTCCATCCTAGACCAGGAGTCGAGCCCTATACCCTTCACGGATGCCACGTACTACAGGGTAGGGTTTTACGGTGAGAAATTCGGTGGGAAGAAGTTGGACAAGAAAGAATATGTTTACAGAGAGGCTCGTGACGTGAGGTTGGGTGACATAATGGAGAAACTCAGCCATATATATGAGCCTAGAATGAACGGGACCACTTTGCACGTAATACCGGACTCCAGACAAGTAAAAGCAGAGGAGTTGCAGTCCGGGGCATGCTACCTGCAGATAACCGCGGTTGATCCGGTCATGGAAGATGAGGATCTCGGGAGCAGAAGGGAAAGAATACTCTCTCTTTCGACTGGAAGTTTCAGAGCTCGGGTTTTCGACCGGTTTTTGTTTGATACTCCCTTCACTAAAAATGGGAAGACTCAGGGAGGGTTAGAGGACCAATGGAAGAGGCGCACGGTCCTGCAAACTGAGGGGTCCTTTCCCGCGCTTGTGAACCGGCTAGTGGTTACCAAATCGGAATCGCTCGAGTTTTCCCCGGTGGAGAATGCGATCGGGATGATCGAAACGCGAACGGCCGCGCTACGGAACGAACTTGAAGAGCCTCGGAGTACGGACGGTGATCAACTCCTCCCTCGTCTGCAGAGCTTACAGAGGATACTTCAAGGCTCTGTTGCTGTCCAGGTGAGTGCAGAGACTTCTTCTTTCATGCAATGCATGCTCTTAATTATATTACTCTCCCTCTCTCCCAATATAAGTTGCATGTTTACTATTCTCAGGGTCAAACTTTAACCACGTTCTTGACCCATTTTCGCGACCCATTTGAGAAAATAATATAGTCTTGTCACCTCTTGTTTTGTAGAGCTTTTGATGAAGCCTCTAAATATATAAATTTTACTACTTTTGTCCCGTAAAACTTTTGAACTTTCATATCTCGTCCTATTAAACATTTCAATTTGGGCTAAATGGACCCAATTGCCTTTATTTTCTTAAAACTAATCGAACCTATTTCAACTACCTTCCACTCTCTATCCATTTTGATATTTCTCGAGCCATACTCGTTTTACCTTGGTCAAGCTTCTACAGTTTCCCCTCTCAAAAGTCGAAACAGGAAATATTTTGCGGGACAGAAGTATTTTTCTAAATTTCTTACACATTTCTCAAATAAAATGAATTGAAAATAGTTTTCAGTCAAATGTCGTGAACAACAACAACAAGAGGCAACTCTTTTTTTGAGACCGAGGGAGTATTATATAGTTAATGGAACCAACCCCATACTAGGTAGGATAGGATGCTTAGCATTGAAAGAATTACTGTGTGAATTAACAAGGTGCGGGGGGNAGTGTGTGCACGGCGTTTCTGTCGGGGGAGCCGGCGACGAGGCTGAGGTCGCAGGAACTCCAACAGCTCATCGCCGCCCTTTTGGAGTTCATGGCGGTGTGCAAGCGTGCGATACGGGTCCATTTCCGCTTGATCGGGGAAGAAGATCAAGACTTCCACTCCCAGCTCGTCAACGGCTTCCAGTCTCTCACTGCCGAGCTGTCTCACTATATCCCCGCCATCCTCTCCGAGCTCTAACCAAATCCCTCCCCATCTACTGCTACTACTACTTACTAACTTCTACTACTACTCTTTCATCATCAGTTCATTTCTTCTCTTATGTTCCCCTTCAGTTTTATGATTCATTCAATCTTGTTCATAATTTGTTACGGAGTATTTATTTTATTTCAATTTTACTCCTTATCACTCTCACGCATATTTGGGGGAGATGGAAATAGTATAATACTATTCTTTACACTAATGTTCTCAAATCTATTACTCCACATTATTATTATTATTATTGTTGTTGTTATTATTATTATTATTATTATTATTTGTTTACTTTACTATTATTGATATTTCCGGATACTTACTGACGTTTCCAGATGAGATAATACATTTCTCAAAAAAAAAAAACTTTCTTAACAATTACGTCAGGTCAACTCATTAATTCCGGCACGGAAGTAGGGCATAAAAAAGTTACAAGTAAGATGAAAGAATGAACATGTTTGGTTCAAGAAATTTGGAAGAAAAAGAAAAGAAAATGAGTTTCTCTCATTTTCCTCGCCAAAATAAGAGGAATTTGGTTTTTTCTTCTTCTTAGTAATATTTGTCTTCTTATCTTTCCTCTTTTTTTTCTTTTTCTCTCTAATCAAACAAGAAAAAACTATTTTTCATTTCATTTTCTTTTCTTTTCCCTTTCAAAAGAATAGTTTTGAATCCTCACAACACAATGCAGTCCATACCCCTTGAAACAAAGCATTTACCTAGAATTTATGTAATCATCCCAACACGACCACGGTAACCATCTTGATTATACTACCGTGTCAATTTACTGATATAGAACGTCGTAGTACACAGGGAAGGTGATTTTGAAGTTCAATTCGTATGCTTTTGTTTGACCTAAATCAGATTATTATTATTTTTTAATTTGATACAATTCCAATAAGAATGAATTGAAGGAATCAGTCCCTAAGTACATGAATGAGTACCAAATAAACCTTGGTCACTTCTCACATCACCCGGAAAAATAATAATTTATCTATGAATATTCTACTCTTCTACAATAACGGCTGGCACTTAGACCAGATGACAACTCATGAATCATTCTAACCATCTAAAGTACTAATCGCTGGAATAGTCAATAGTAGTTTTGTTTTGGCAATGTAGAAATAATCAATCATAAACTATCTTTTCTCGAGAGTCCAGACAGAGGTGCAGGTGCTAAAGCACGATGAGCATCCCGGCAGCTAGGATAGGAGCCAGACGTTCTCGCCTACACCTACATCATCTCAAGTGCTATCCAAAACCTTCCACTTCTCAAAATCCGCATAGTTTAGCATGAACGAACTCGCATTCTGATGACCGCCACCACCGTATTTCTAACACGCGCAAAAAACACCACCACTTGTTACTCTTTCAAAACGGCACAACTTTCAAAAACATATGGTTTCGAATTAGTCTAGTTACTACAAAAATCCATAAAAACATGTTTTTTGTGACCTTCCAACTCATAAAATAGGGAAAATTTCAGCCTTGTGAGATGGGTGCCCAAAAAAACATTAAAAATAAGGCCAAACCTGAGAGATGGGAGTTGTATCCTCTGAGTCAACACTCCTTAGGCTGATTTTCACAACTTCATCATTTTTAAGATCATGAACCTTGTATATGACCGCTCCGATTCCCCTGGAATTGAGTATGGGAATGATAAAGAAAGATGTTAATGCTCATAAATATAACCAGAAACATCATCGTACCGTTCCACATGATATACGCAGAACTCATGCTGAAATGAGATGCATTCACAGTTCTTTCTATTAATAAGGGAATGTAACAGTGGGGGGGGGGACAAGAAGGTAAAACAAACCTGAGCTTCATTTCACGGCTTTTAATAGCCAGCTGATTTCCAAGCACGCTTCTCAACTCAAATAAAGCATCTGCGTTAACAGCCTAAAGTAAAAGACAGATGGAGTTAGACTTCTAATATGATAATGATATTGTGAGGGAAATAAGGTTCAGCCAGGTTAACCGACATAAAGCAATGATAGATTAACAGTTTCTACACATTTATTTTTCTAACAGAACTACTTTAAAGATTTTCACCAATATATAAAGTCCACAAATTAAACCTTTATGTTCAATCACTTCTAATTAAACCTTCTCTTATTGGTAATGCAACCTCGTGCATGCAAAATATAAAGGACAAGCAAATGGTACCAAAGATGTGATATTATGCTATTGAAGTGTAAGAATATGATTGCGTGATGAGAAGGTTCTATTCCACTATTTCTATCAATATTTATTAGGGTCAAATTTTCCACATAAGCTTTATTAGCAAGGGGCAACCATACTTGGATCCGGTGTTGTAAATATAAGGGCTACCTTTGATGGAAACAGAGACAAGGGAGAGTGTGCACGCTGGTCAATGAAAAGAACGAAAAATAGACTAGGACGTTTTTTCAACGTGCTACTGGAAATAAAAAAACTAACACTCACAAAAGGATTCCTAAAAAGAAGAAGAAAAAGGAGCTCAATTACCTGCTAACTTCTACGACCTCTGTCCCAAAAATAAGAACAACTTTTTTTACTAATGCACAAGATTTTACGGAGTGATTATTTTGGAAAGGTACAACTGTCATGGAACCATCTTGTATGTTTTTAAAATTTATTTATTGGTTTAATTAAATTTATCATTTTATCATATGTATGTGCATGACTCTTTTTGACAAGCTCACGAGCTACATGAAAAATTGGATATGCTTGATCAAACTAGACCTTTTCTGGGACCAAAAAAGTGTTTAAAAGATGACCTTATTTAGAATGGTATGTTTTTATCTGCTAAGTTGCATAGTAAATACTCCATAGCAGTTATCTTTCAACGTGCTATGATTGTGTTTTATTTGATAAGCGGTCATGAAGAGTTTGGGAAGCAAGCAATTCCATTCAAATATTCAATGATGTCCTAAAACTAAAGAGAAAAGCAGCTTATGATAGATAATTGGTAAAAAGGCTTGCCAGACAATGTCCATATGTTCCTCCACCAAGTGCTATGATGAATGACCTCTCAAGCGAATCATCTATCAATTTTTGCTTCCGAGAGATGGTCATCTTCCCTTGGGATATGAGAGAGTCGAGGTCCAAAGAGCGCAACTGCAGATATCAGTATCCATAAGAGATAATTAGAAAACAATTTACTAGGATGAGAAAAACTTCATGAATTTCTTGCGACAGTTAGGACTTGGGCTGATGAATTTCTTGACTGAAGTTATTCGTTAATTTATTGTTGAATATCGGACATTAACTCTTTAGATGTGCATCAATTATAATGCCAAATGAAAACAAATCTTCACCATCAAATACTTGGAAGAGAAAGCAATTATATGTAGTGTGCTAATGTGCTATTTTTGATAAAAAATCACAAGAAAATAACACCTAGCAATGGCTACCTGATCAAACAAGGATGGGTTGGATCTTGCATTAAACTCAATCTTCAAATCATCAAAGCCATTGTTAAATGCCTTACTATCAGGAAGTTTCCATCTCCACAAATCTCTGTCTTCAATGTATTCAAAGAGTCGCCGCAGTCTTCGGAATTCACGTATTCCTCGGTCTAATGAACCATCATCGGCGGCCCCATTATGGGAATCCCGGGTAGTAGCAGTTAAGAGCTTTTCCAAGAAATAATCATAAGCAATAGTGGCCCCACTCCTGTCCATGTCGATCACTTTAAACACCTCCCCAACAGCATATGTCTCAGCACCCAACATTTCTAGTGCAGTTTTGTGATGATCCAATACAATAACACTGCAGAAGATGTAATCATCATACTACTACTAGTACTCATCAATAAATCAATCTATAGGTATTTTACGAAGAATCAAATATTTGTTGGGTGATCCCCTCTAACATAGAAAGAGAGCCACCACTTGAAATTAAAACAAACGGCATGCCCAAGTTGGTTAAAAAGTTAGGCAACCAACACTTCTAGATAGAGAAGCTCTATCTACAAGACAACAACAACAACAAACCAGCTAGGTCTCACAAGTGGGGTTTGAGGAGGGTAGATGTACGTACGCAGTAACTCTATTTATAAAGGTTGTGTGTTTTGAAAGACCATCGGCTCAAGAAAACATAAAACAAGTTAGAAGAAACAAACAAAAGATAAATAAAAGAGGAACACAAACTATACAAAAGAAAAAGGGTGAGTAAACAACAACACACAAAAAGGAAAGTTAAGTAAAAAAAGTTATTGGTAGCTTATTATCTTACTCTCTCAAAACACCCGAGGCTAAGAAATTTCCATAAAACTTTAACCTTCAACCTCCAAACTCATCTACAGAACAAGATAAAGTCATAATTGGTTGTCATAGGCTCTCAGCTAAGCATCCAAGAGAATTTGTTTTTTTGAGGGAGTGAGGAGCCAAGATAAAGGCATCCCTCCCTTTCTTTGGAAAATCGACACCAAGATGAAGACAGGAAAATTAGATTTAAAACATGGCTAAATTTACCCCCTTAATTTTTCATGTGATTTGCATAGTTGCACAATAATTTGAAACTTCTATGTAACTTGTTTTTTTTGTTTTTGACAAATTACATGAAAACTTAACTCCAATGGAACTCTTTGAGAAAATACCTTTTGAAACATGACCTCTTTGCGGCAAATTAAGAAAAAAAGTTACTGCTGTCACTTATGTGGAATGCTTTAATATTTTGAACCGTAATACCATAGGGCCCAACAATGTTTTGTTAGTTTCATGGCATAAAGGCATTTAAAAAAGGATTTCGTATGCATAGCATTCCTAAATTCCTAAGTCACACGCTTTGTTGGAAAGCCTTCTCCTTTAAGTCACACGCTTATATGAGCTCGTGAATATGGAGAAGTTGATTCTCAGACGAAGTAGTCTTGAAATTTCACTCCCTCTATACCATAAAAAGGTTTCGCATTTGACGAGGCAAATTTATAGAGAGAAATAATATGAAAACACAAAATTTTCCTACAAACGAATGTGTAACCTTATGCATGGGACATAAGGAGTATTTCATACGGAGTATTTCACAATATCAAATTGACTACATTTATCAAGTACATATATTATATACATTGAACATTTGAATGTACTTCAGAGATTAGACACCCAACATCTAAATTGAGCATTCATTAGAAGCAGAATGAGTATTCTCCGCACCAAAATGAGCATTTTTTACAAGTGCAATGAGCCGAACAAGAAAAAACAAATACAATAAAACTAAATGAAATGAGCATTGTTCAAAACAATAACGAGCACAACACCCAATTTCTGGCATATGGGCAACATAGAAACAACAAACAAATGAGCATTGAATTTTCAAAAAAGGGGGGATTTGAGTATTACCGCCGAACTAGAGACGAAAGGTGCCGCAGAAAGCCAGGGGGCCCCACAAAGTCCAATAGGTAGACACAGTCGATTTGAGAGATGGGAAGGTCTCCGGGCCGGATGGGAGCGTAGACGGTGTTGGGGAAGAAGAGAGGCGGCGGAGTAGCAGCTGCCGTGGTGGGAGGCAGGGAGGAGAAGTATAAATGAGCGGCCAACGCCGCAAAGGCGCCGTCGGGGCACGGGTAGTGGTACAACACCGCCGTTGCGCGGCTCCGTAACATTGCGTCGCTGCACCTGCCCAATTCCTTCAACAGTTAACTTAAATGAATTAAAATATGTTCTTTCCATTATTTTATTTCAATATTGATATATAAATAAAAAATAATATTTAAATATTTAAAAATTATATCAAAAGTTTTTTACAAAATAAAAGTTGATAAAAATATTTTATTTCATCAAATAATCAACTAAAACACAGATAAACTAAAGTTATCGCGATTTTTGAATATTAAAGTGTATAAATCATTTAAAAACAGAGGAAATAGTATTGAAATAGTTTTTATTTCTATACCAATTTATAAATGAAATTAATTTAAAAAAGATGTGATTAGTACAATTTTTTTAGGCATAGTTGCCTTCAACTTATTTTTTCTATTTACTACGGAGTACTTTTTATTTTATTTATTCAGATCAACATATAATTAAAAAGTATTAAAAAGTAAATAGTGCAGTAATAATAACCACAACCTTTATACGAACAACCTTTATACGAATAATGATGAAATACTTGTGTTAATAATAATTATTTCGGAGATCAAGTGTAATAATTATTTGGTTTACTCTGTATTATATATTGGCTGATTTAATTAATAATTACAAGAATGATCACCCTCATAAAAATAGTTTAAAACAGTAATTAAAAAATACTCGTTCAAAAAAAAAGTTAAAATAGTCATAATACGGAATAATACTTGCGATAAATTTATAATAATAATAATAATAATAATAATAATAATAATAATACAACAACAACAACAATGATTCTATATAACACGAAACATAATTCTAGATTTTGTTTTCGAGCCCAAAGGGCCATCCCGCTCTTTCGACCAACTTTTAAAATGGAACGAAACACGTAATGAAAGCAAGCACGGGGGTTTAAACTAGTACTAGTGATACTAACACAATAAGGTGAACGAAAACAGCCCTAAGAAGAATACTTCATGATCTGCGTTGCGCTTGAATAAGATCTCGATAGTGATGCCACTTCTCATACTTTTGGTGCCCCTTCATTGGTAACAAAGGTCTGAGTCGGGGAGCAGTTGTGCAGTTTAAGCAGCAACTTCCCCGTAGATTGGCCGAGCATTCTCTGCAACATCTGTATAAACAATAATATTCGTCAAATGTCTATGGCTTTGTCAACTCATAAGTGAAATGGATGGATGCATTACTAAGAATTTATTCATCAACATAGCTCAAATGATGCCAAAAGTAAAGTCATACTTTCCATTTTTGATGCCCTAAAATGAATATGTGGCTCACACATTTCTCTCTTCCAAACAAAATTTAATCACTCATTTTTTTTACTTTTCAGCATTTTTCTTAAACCCCGTGAGGTCAAACAATGAAATTAGTTTCAGGACGAAGGGGGTATATGTAATATCACTATATCCTACACGGTTTTCGGTTATTGGATGTGTGTGTGCACTTACAGGAAAAGATGGTTGCAGTCTATATTTGCACAATTACGGTGCCTCAGTTCCGTAATGTGTGAACCACAAACGTAACACCTTGCAAATGCCTCATGCTGTGATTTGACTTCTTCCACTCCATCCAGTTGTGATTCTGCTTCAGGGTTGTAGCTTGATGGTGGTAGAGATAGGCGCGAATCAAATACAAAAAGATTTCCAATCCATCCGGAAGAGCCTTCCGCTTGGAGGTAATGGGAGACCCCACCCTTTAGGGTATATAACCGTTCAAACCCCTTTTCCCTTTCACAAACACATGAAGACATGAACATTTGTCAGGGCATATTGGGTTTGCTTGGATCCTGGAATAATATTAGGGAAAGAAAATATGGGGGAAATTAAGCAGTAAAATCAGAAGGAAAGAAACTTTGGTGGAATAGAAGATACAATGAAAAAACTAAGTTTATTGTATATATTAGTTCAGACTCATTTATAATTTTATATACTCCATCTATCCCAAAATAAACTTCTCACTTGATTAAACTCCGTGCAAAAAGCCAAAAAGTGAATGAGAACTTTAATTTGGGACAAAGAGAGTATTTATTTATTTGGTAATATATAAACATTAAGAAATCTAATATGGAGTATATGTACAATTATAAAACAGTAAGAACATTTCATTGTTTTTCTTTACATTTTACAGTACATGTTAATGCAAAACATACCCAAATAAATGCATGAAAACCAAGGAAAATAAAATGCTTAGCAGTATGAGAAAAAGAAAAGAACTATCATTATATTAATCCTCCGGACGAAAAAAATATGTATTCCTATTCAATTTGGATTACCTCAGGAGTGTGGAGTACATGTCACAGCGAATGCCTCCAGTGCAGTACATCAATATATCAGTTTTATCTTTATCAACACCTGCTAAAGGATCAGAAGCAAGGACCTGCAAACAATAAGTAACTAAGCACTTTTATGGAAATTCAGTATGGGAAATCACACAAAAAAATGCATATGCAAGCACATAGTCATATTCTCTGCAATTAATATTTAATACACATCCTAGATCATTTGCAGCTGGATAGGCTAGCTAGGGTAGGTTTTCAGCTACAACACTTAATGCATTGATTGAACAAGCTAAGGATCTCAATAGATTTACAGCTACAACATTTTATCCACAGTGTACAAGCTAAGGATATCATATTACGTTTAATACAACACAACAAGATCATCTGTTCATTCACCATAGTTTGCCAACATATGAAATTGGTAATAAACATTGGTTTGACTTTGTAGTGCGTAAAGTTCCAACAATAAAAACCTGTAAAGAATTGAAGTAAAACCTTGAGAAACTACATACTTGGGAAAATGTAGCATATGATATCCATATTGTATAGGGAGTAATAAGTAAATTCGCAATACCTCTGACTCGGAAAGCCCAAATGAAGTGCTCTTGAAACAGTCAACATTAGGTCTCTGAGCTCCTTGAAAGTGACCAATGTCCCATTCATAGCCTGTGTATAAGACATGGTGATCGGCGATGTCATACGTAACTAAGAACTAAAATCCATGGCACAAATATATACAAACTACAACTCATAAAGCATTACTCCATAGTAAAGGCAGCTGTGTTGCAACATGCCTGAAAAGCGATTACTTGGAGAAAAAACTTGCAGGCAATTACCATTTCTTACGTCAAGTATAATACAGTTTCTGTTGATATCCACATTTGACAAATTATTGACATTATTTATTGCCTCCAATTGGATCCTCCACTGGGATGGTGTCAAAGGTGTTGCACGTTTTGCCGAGTCAAGCAAAGAAAGATGTGAGATTTTTCCCACAACCTGCCCACACAGATGATTGGCGGAAAAGAAAATCAAGCCGGGAAGTTCACCTGAGCAGTAGAAACAAGAATGACTGATCAGACATAAGGTGGCTTGCCTGAACAAGAGAGGGCTTATACCGCAACTTCAACCTTGGGAAGACATGGCAGCCATATAAACTTGGAGATGTCTGGACCAATATGTCGGAGAACCTTTGGTCTTCCTTTACAAAATCAACATAAGCCAGGGCATCTTTCTTCGGGCCACTGTACTGTACTAACAATGCGAGGTACAAGCAACTTACGACTAAATCCCTCAGTTTTGGAGCTAAAATTCCGAGCAGGAAACAGAAATTTGCACAGAGTGATAGTGAATGAAGCAAACTAACCTATTCAGGGCATACCTGAGCATTAATCCCTTGCTCGTTGAGATATATCCGCCCATGAATATCACGACCCTTCATGCAGAGAATCGTCAAATAATCATTAAATGGGAATGTTTGAGCCAATAACTAATGATTTGGGCATTTTGAGTCAATAAACTAACATTAGGGTAACATTGAGCTCGGAAAAAGGGGCAATTTTCTGCCCATAAATAACCTAAGAGCATACTTGATGTACAAAATTGCTCCATTTCCCATTCCCAATTGAAAAAAAAACAGAGGGATTCAGAAATTAGAATGAAATGAAGGGCAGTTAAGTTGCCTCCATGAACGAGATGTGTTGAGCAAGCAGCTCCTGTGGGTCTTGAACGAACACAAAACGGTAGAAATTGACCACAACGTAGTCTTCGGTCTCGGCCGGCGGATCACACTCTCCCGACGGCACCGGAGACGGAGACGGCGCAGCGGAGCAGAAACAGGCGCGGCGGATGCATTTCCAGTTAGACACCGCCGCAGCAGCAGCCCTGCCGGGAAACCCAAGCGGCAGCCTCCGTGAAACGCGAGAAGCGAAGGAGGAGGGAACCGGAGAGGGAGATAGAGTGCGAGAGAGGGAGAGAGGCGCACTGCACCGCATTGCTCGTGCAGCAGACGATCAGGAGAAGGTGAGAACCAAGAAGAGTAAGATATGATTGGTTCCGGTTCAGCCAAAGGGGAACCGTACAAGAAATTGGAACAGGATGGAGCCTTATAGGAGGAGGGGGCACGTGTCATGTGAGGGGTGGCAGCACCCGGTAGTGCAATTTAACTGCCCGCCCGCCATTCACTTCATCATTTCTCGTCCGCGGCGTTGGATCCGAACAGCAACGGTGGGCATAGCCGGGCTGAAGCTGGCGGCGCTGCGCATTCCGGCGAGACCGACGGAGAGAGATAGTTTCGCTTGCGCCACATTCTGGAGAGCTGGAGTCTGTGCAGGACACCCCAGCCATTGACCCGCCGGGGAACGGCCAGATCCGTCACCGATCGCCGTCCGCGGTTGAGCTCCTGGAGTCACAACCGCACCACATTCCCATGGATCAAATGGAGAAGGCCATCAAACGCAACCGCGGCTCGCAAGACTCCCTTTCTGACAAGATCCTGAGATACCGCGCCATCCTTCTTCTCGTCTCTGTTCCCCTACTGCTCATAGGCTTCCTGCTCTTTCTTACTCGATCTCCTTCCGATTCTCTGGGAAAAATCAACCGCAAATTCTCTCCGGACTTCGGATCTAACAAGTATGCAGTCATCTTTGATGCCGGCAGTTCCGGCAGCAGAGTTCACGTCTTCTGTTTTGATAAGAACCTTGATCTCGTTCCCATTGGCAATGGTCTCGAGGTTTTCGAACAGGTACATTTGTCAATACTTGCTGGTAAACTTGTCCACATTTTCCATCTTGCAATGTTTTTTTTATTGGCGAATCTTGTAATAGTTCTTCTTCCTTTTTTCCAACTGTCTGCTACTGGCAATTGATATCGATAATTGTTCCATCTGCTGATTGGCTTTGATATGACAGTTAAAACCGGGCCTGAGTGCTTTTCCAACTGATCCTGAGGCTGCTGCAAACTCCATCAAGCCACTTCTCGAAAAGGCAGAGGCTGTAGTTCCTCAACATGTTCAGAGCAACACACCAGTCAGAGTTGGGGTTAGTAATTTCCATTTTGTCAAAAAAACAATTAGCATGACTCTCACTAAAGAAAGAATCTTTATCGTCTTTGAAGATTAATCGACACTTACTGCCTACATGGGCATTTGTTCAGGCAACTGCAGGTTTGAGGCAATTAGAAGGTGATGCCCCCGATAGGATTCTGCAAGCAGTAAGCTGAATATTTTCTTTCCAGTCCATTTTTATGTATTGTTTCGCTTAGTGGTTGTGTCTTTATAATCTTATACCAAATATATACTAATTTGCTACCTTATTAAATTTAAGTTTTCGTGATGAAGGTAAGAGATTTTCTGAAGAGCAAAAGCAGCTTCAAGTTAGAATCCGATTGGGTCACTGTCCTGGATGGAAGTCAGGAAGGTGCTTATGAGTGGGTATGGTAACATTATGTTTATGGTCTTTATATGCAAATGTGCAATTTGAGATCTCAGAAGGAAAAAAAACTGAGTCACATTTCTGATTTAGAATTTGAGCTTTTGGACCGCGCAGGATGTTTTGATTGATTTTATTGGAGAGGGGGATATGTTTCCCTTTCTGAGGAGTGCAGTTAGTTAATCTGAGATTGCTGCTTATGTACAATTAGATTTAAATTATTTTCAAAATGACAATGTATTGCAGAAACCTGTATTCGTTCTTTGCCTTCATTTACTAAATATTTTAGTACATTTTACTCCCTCGGTCCCGAAAAAAGTTCCACATTTCTCTATATGTTTTGTCCCAGGATACAGTTCTACCTTCCTTTTGAAGAAATAATTCTACGGTTTACATCATTACAACAAAATGTTGTAGTACATTATACTCACTCCCTCCCAAAAAAAGGTCCTGCAATAGTGCAATTCTCTTTTTGTTTGTCCCAAAATAAGGTTCTACTTTTCTTTTGAAGAAATGATTACATGATTTACATCATTTCTCTCTCTTACACATATGAGTTGATAAACATAATAAGTGTCTTTTAAAGGAAGATATAGTCCCTGACTCTCTGTTACCCGTCAGCTTTTAGCAAGCTGTTCCTATATGGCTATTGATATCACAGCCACAAGAAGCCCCTACAAGACGCCACTTGAGCATAGGTTGTACAATCACTAGATGCAAATACAATTTTTTGTTTGACTTTTGCCTATCCCTGTAGGTGACTATTAACTATCTCTTAGGCAATTTGGGTAAAGAGTATTCTAAAACTGTCGGTGTAGTTGATCTTGGTGGTGGATCTGTACAAATGGCTTATGCTGTATCAGAGTCGGATGCTCAGAAGGCACCGAAATTGTCAGATGCAGAGGATAAATACGTGCAGGAGATGTATCTTAAAGGAAGGAAATATTACCTTTATGTGCACAGGTCTGTCTCATTCTTCATAAGTTTTGTTCTTCAGAATTGGGAAAATGTAGAACTCGGCCCGACCATCACACTCTGATATTTCATCGCTAAAATAGAATTAATTGGTTTGGATTTTCATTTCATTTTCATAAGGGGCTTGCATTGTTATTTTGCAGATATAATTAAATATGCTATTCTTTATCTTTTACCTCTATAATATTGTTTACATCTCCATTACAGTTATTTGCACTATGGATTGCTAGCAGCTCGAGCTGAGATCTTGAAGGTCACAGAAAACTCGGGCAATCCTTGCATCTTGGCAGGATATGATGGTACTACTTTCTTATTAGCAGCTACCTTTATTTAAATTAAATTGTAGAGCCCTGCATGTTTATATGTTTGTCCAGTTCACATTTACAACTCATTTTTGTTTGAATTTTTATTTGTCATGGATACAACAACAACAAAGCCTTATCCCACTAGGTGGGGTTTGTGAGATCATTCACGTAAAGGTCCCTCTTGACCACTTCTTGCCAAATCTTCTTAGGTCTAGCTCTTCCTCTAGCCACATGTCTATTCACCACTTGATCAACCCTTCTCACCGGATGTTCTATTGGTCTTCTATCCACATGTCCAAACCACCTAAGACGAGTTTCCACCATCTTTTCATTAATATTTATGAAAAAGCAGTTGTTAAAGAACATGGGAAAATGCCAAAGACCTCGTGGTCCAATGGCACCAAGAGGTGACTCTTCCAATTGGGAAGTCAGGGGTTTAATCCCCAGTGGAGGCGGTAATTCTTGGTGCTTCAAAAGGTCGAGAAAGTATGTATAATAGATACTACAATTGTAATAGAGTTATTAGTGCTAAAAAACATGGGAAAATGATGAAGATGACAAACAGTTGACCAAAGAATATTGGATAGTAATTTCTATATGTACACCCATATTGGGGCACATGGAATATCTTTCATTCCTTTTAAAAGGAAGACACATCTGTGATCTTTTGTCTTCTGTACTTTTTGAATGGAATGCATCAATATTTTGATTGTGCGATTCTGTTCCTTGCAAGGGTCATATAAATATGGAGGAGAAGTTTACACTGCATCGCCTTTGCCATATGGTTCAAACATGAGGAGTTGCAGGGACATATCTATTAAGGCTCTTAAAGTCAACGAATCAATATGCACAAATATGAAATGCACTTTTGGTGGAGTGTGGAATGGAGGTGGAGGCGATGGTCAGAAGAATCTCTTTGTTGCTTCATTCTTCTTTGATAGAGCTGCAGAGGTACATATTTCTTCTAGTAATTGGCGACTATATAGATTTTTATTGGTTACAATAATCTTTGACAATGAAGGTTATATTAGAGCTTCATAAGCGAGATGCGGGCGTAAATGTTACCATTTCCCACATAAATTTAGTGTTAATTACAACATCCCACTAAGGTATGGGGAGGGTAGGTCGTAGGTGCATTTAGATCATGTCACTAACCACAAGTTTACAGTGTCAAATATTTTTAAAAAAATAATTGATACTACAAATCTAATGTCACTAACCTCAACATAGTTGGGATTCAGGTGATGATGATGATGACTCATTTGTGTTGTCAAAGTGGTAAGAAAAGCGCATGATTTTAATGTAGATGCTCATCACATAGTATGCATGCATGCAGGCTGGCTTCATTAATGGAAGTTTGCCTGTTGCTAAAGTTCGTCCGGCTGATTTTGAAAGTGCTGCTAAAGCTGCTTGTGAAACTGGTCTTGAGGACGCCAAATCTAAATATCCTAATGTTGGTGGGGACAACTTGCCATACCTGTGTATGGATCTTGTTTATCAGTTCACATTGCTTGTAGATGGCTTTGGTAAGTGATACTCCATTCCGTACGAGAATCACACAAATCTTTCATATTTGACATGCCCCTCTAGCCCTCTCCAATCAGATACTGAGTATTCATCTTTCCACTCTCGCAAGATTACCTTAATTTATGAATCCATCATAATAAAGGCTTATATTTATCTTGTCTACACAATAAATACAATATTTCTAAAGCAAAACGACCCTTTTAAGCGTCCCCGCTTCTTTCAATAGTGAAGTAGCAGTAAGCCAATGCAACTTTCAACGCTCATCATGGGACAGACACTCTCCCTTACCCCTCAATGGCGGGAGCCTTTGACCCACTGGGGTAATGTTGTTGTGCTAAAACCCTAAAACTTAAAAAGAAGCAATTAATGTTACATGCTTGTACTTGCTTAATAAATAGGCAGGTAAAAGAGGATCGTAAAAACAAAACTTCAAAAATGTGCTATTTTTTTATTTTGTTATTTATTTTTAAAATTGACATTCTGAAACTAATTACCTACCCAATGCTTGTTTTCAGGGCTCAACCCTCAGCAAGAGATCACTTTGGTAAAAAAAGTGAAATATCAGAACTCACTTGTTGAGGCAGCTTGGCCATTAGGAAGTGCCATTGAAGTTGTATCATAATAACTGAACAAACTGCTGCCCAAAAAGCTCAATTTGTCGTAAGCTATTTCCCGCTCAATTTTCTTGAAGAATTTCTATTCCCCATTTGACCTGGAAGGTGGTGTTACAGAAAAAGCATTTTTCCCCCATTTTCTATATTTTTATTTGTTGGATTGGAGGCAATAGATGGAATGCTGAGAGCCTTTTTGTTGTTCTAGTTTGTGATACAGGAAAACTTAGATATACTCACACACACACACACACACACACACATATATATATTCTGTTTTCTCTTGTAAAGCCAGAGAGAGAGAGAGATCCCTGCCACTTTTGAACACTTGATATACCCCAAACTTTATTCTTTGAAACTCTTTGGGTTGCCTCCTCCATCTTTCCTGTGTTTACGTGTTTTCAAGACTTCTGGTATTTTGCTGAATGCCCATTTGGCTAGGGCTTGTTTGGTTAGGGGCTTTTTGAGGGGAAAGGCAATGAAAGATTTCTGTTTTTTAAACTATGTGTCTATGTCTGTGCTCCATCCACGCGTCCCCTCCTTCCAAAGTTTGTATTTTCATTTTCTTTTCCTTTCAAAATAACAGTTTTTTTTCTTAGGATAAGATTTTATAAGTATTATTTTGAAACCTAATACTCCATCCGTCCCAAAATAATATTATGTTTGACTTTTTGGGGTCAAAAGTAAAAACTTTGACCACAAAATCAAAAAACAACACATTGAATAAAATTATTACTCCCTCCGTTCTAAAAAAAAGTTTTTATTTTGACCAAGTGTAAAAATAAAGAAGTGTTAAATTATAGTTGACTTTCAATTTTTCCCTTGATGTTATGGGTAAAAGTAAGATGTGATTGATAGATTATTAGAAAAAATGCATGGTATAATAGGTAGGATATGAAAAAATAAGGGTAAAAGTGGTTTTAATAGAAAGTGGAAGTATTTTGTTGGAATTGGTAAAAATGAAAGAGAAAGTATTTTTAAGAACGGAGAGAGTACTTTAATATCCTTTGATCGGTCTTGAAGTTAAAATTTGAAGTATCATATTTTTAATAAAAAGATTAATGGATACATGTAGGTGCTAACAATTGAAGTTGTCACACTTTAGAGCCAAACAATGGGCACGGGCTTATTGAGGGAAGAAAGAGTAAAACAGAAGTAAACTATAAGAAAGAATTGAAATGCTTCTTATGTTTTTATTCACATTTACAATGCCAATATATATTACCCAAAATACAATGTAGAATACTTATATATATATAACATTGTCATAGTGCAATTATCTTATATTTGGGATACATACATGTAACTTGTATTTTAAAGATAAAGAGATATGTTCTCAGGTAATTTCTTCGACACTTTTGGTTGTGGCAGCATTCAAAACAACAAACGCCCTGCCGCATACAATGGGTATAGCAACTTGACAAGTTGGTGTTAGACCCGTGCAAACAAGAATAGGCTTCTTCTCCTAAATAAATTATGCATGTGGGTGGATATCGAGTCAAGCCAAATTTTAATGCACACAAATATGAAACATTATGAGATTTTAAATTAATTTAAAAACTATGAGATTTACGCGTTTGAGGGGTATAACTCATTTTAGGACGAAATATTACCTCTAGAAGTGTAAATATACGTAATGTTACTTCTTGACGAAATGATTTATATATATATAAACTTTATTACTTTCTTCGTCCCAAATTAAATTGTCTATTTTCTATTCACGGGGTCAAACTTTATTCCCTTTTTTCTTTATTTTCATTAGTCATTTGATAAAATAATACTCCGTATAGTCATGCCACTACTAGTTTTATACTCCGGAGTACATCTTTTGTTGTAGTTTTTTAAATGTGTAATTTTTATTTCTTAATTCTATACCATTTTTCATATAAAATGATCTAAAAATAACTTCAATCAAATATCATAAAATGAAACAAACAATTTAAATTAGGACGTAGAGAGTAGTGTTTATTTCTACTGAGTCAAACTTTAATTACATTCTATACTCTCATTGTAATAAATCTTAATTAGAAACAACTTTAACTAGAACCTGATGAGATTAAATCAATTGAGATGAAACAAAAAAAACCAAATCTGATCAGATTTTAATAAATTCATACAAATATATTAGAAATCAAATCAGACAAAGAGAACATACACTATATATCATGTTATAAATTTGGACTACTATATTATCCCCACTTGTGGGAGACCGACTCTACCAAGCAAGCTTTTTGATTAGTTGGCATGCTGCAGAAACACACCCAAGAGCACTAATTTGCTCAAACTAGCCCAATTATATGTATGCCAAATCAGGGTTATTGAGTTTGAAGCTCTTCAACATTCACTGTTGTGTGGATTTAACGAAAGGGATGAATTAAAATGACATTTCTAATCAAGTAATGGGCAAAAATTACCTATGTCTAAGAGTATCTGTCTATTTTTGATTTTTTAAAGTCAAATTTGATGAATCTCCATCAATAATTAATAAAAGATTAGAGAGTATATTGCATATTAATACAAAAAAACAATTTTTAAAAAGCTTTATGCAACATAAATCTAATAAAATCCTTTTTGTATTAATAGGCAAAGCAATTTTTATTTAATTGATTATCAAAATTTTCAGTTCCACGAATACTCTTAAAAGGAGTGAGTACTATATGAATCTTGAAAATGATAATTAATATGGACAATCAGTGCTGACAGCTTTCATCATCTTGATTATGTACAAAAAACAAAAAAAAACCTACTCTACTTTTCTTTCTTCAAAATCTATGCCTTACGCTACTTTGGTGTAAGACATGCCCATGACCCCGGCGTTGTTCTTTAGTCCGGTGGATTGATGACGATAGCGTTCCTAGAAAGTTTTGCGCCTTCTCTTTTGATGCAAACGCTAAATCGGTCTGGAATAAGGGGAGAGGATCATGTGGATCGTTGTTCCTTCTTGGGCCTCTTCGTTGCTGGTTCTGCCTCACTAGTATATCGGGCCTGCTCCCGACGATATGCACCACTGACTGTTCATCAAGGTCAAAGTGTATGATGCTATCCATTCCTATTTCTGTTTCTATCAACCATTCCAGGTTAGCTGGAACCCCTTGAAGCTCGGGCTTACCCAGGTTTGCAAAGATTTTGCTGCTCACAACCAAGAGGAGTTTCTTGGTGATGATTGCGAATTTACCTTCCTCTTTGAGTGAATCACAGATGATTAGGGCTTCATCTTTGAGATTTGAAGAACAGTCGTCCGCCTCTCGGAGTACAGATGCCCCAATTGCTTCTTCCCAAGAATACGACCGCAGAGGATATTCCCTACTTAGGTGTCTTGGAAGGCGAACCCTATAGTGTTGTTGGTTTCCACTGTGGAGTCGCTTGCTCCAATTCTTTATGCTCTGTGCTGTTTTACCGGTGACATCAAGGACACTGGCCGTGGGTTTTGCCACGAGACCTGTCATTCCAAGGGCTATGCCTGGAAGAAAAAATGTTTTATAACAGTGATAAAACACCATTTCCACATCCATTTATGGGCTTGGAAAGTTTTGGTTGAAAACTTCATTTCATAATACTCCCTCCGTCCCACAATACAGTTTTTGGTCTGACTTTCACGGAGTTTAAGAAAAGCCATAAAATGTTGTTGACTGGCCAATTTTTCCCTTCCCACTAATAAAACAATTAAAAGTGAGGTAGTAATGGTCAGAGGATCACCCAGAGTCAGTTTCAGACAGACCCTGAAAGGGAGTCCTCTGACTGAGACAGCATATTGAAGTTAGGGGACGGGAATGGAGATATCTTGCTCGGATTGCTTTAACAATTGAAATTGAACGCCTTTTCTTAGTGGAACTGAAGGTCTAACGACCTTCTGCTCCAGATCTGAGTAGCTTTGAGTTTTCATTAATGAATCCGATGTTAGGGTTGTGCCTAATCTGGATCTGGTTGAATCCATGGTTAAGAGCGTGGTTAGAAGAAAAAGTGAGGGAGAAGAAAGGAGGGTAGAAGGCAAAGAGCAGAGAAGATAACGGTATGTAAATTGGTAGGGTTTACAATTGTAGGAGGAACATTTTCACATTTTGTACATTTTGATAAGTTTAACATTCCAAATTAGGATATGGGATGAATAATTTGGGATGGAGGGAATATAATATCTCCCATTTTATAAAATCAAGAGCGTCTTAATACCAATTTTCTAACTTTTCAATTCTTCTCTATCTCAAGGAATAAAACTAACGTCTAATAGTTCCAAGAAGATATATCATATTAAGGACAATTGAGGTATAATGGACTACGAGGATAACCAAGTGCATCTTTGACAAGCAATACCTGAGACTATTCCTGGGAGTCCATGCTTCTCAGCCCCCTTTATTGGCGACTGCAATAGGCCAGTAAGTCCCTGAACGTCAACACAAAGTTGAATTTTTTATTAGTTAAGATTGTTGTTCTAATCACATTCCATTACGAAAGTGAAAAATCCAAAGCATGAAAAAGAAGAAATATATGACCTACGAAGCTGAAAGGGAAAACACATACCTCTAGTAATTCATTTATCACACCTTTACTATTGGAAGATACTCTCTTCTGCGGCCTGTCCATATTTGCTATACTGTGATCATCGAATGTAAATGCGACGATGCCCTATACAGTTAGAGTAAAATACCAATTTTAGACAATATGATCAGAGTATTTACATCTGTTTCAAAGTGTTAGAGGAAGGAAAAAATATACCTTCTTCGCAGCCTTGCTAAATTGAGTGGCAGTATCACTTATTGCATAAACAGTGTTGCTGAAGAGACTAGACGTGCCTTGCGCCATACCCGTAATAAGTCCTGCACGACTCTGCAGAAACCAGTTTTAGTTTAGTATTCACAAATAGAAAGCTTCTTAGTAGATGAAACACATGATAGACTACCTGGAGAGCACTTTGTAAAGGAGCAGACAAGAAATCTTTGATCCCAAGAGTTACATTTCTTGCAAACCCCATGGGATTACCTATCACTCCGGCTGAACCAAGCACCTGCATTGCAAGCATCAGTGAAAACTTGGTTGCTACGAAACTGAAACATTAATGTTTGAAAAAACATGAGAACTTTGTTACTTTTGTAACGGTACTTGTAAAAAAAATGGATTCATCTGGTGAAATACAGATCATATTGGAAAATTTTCATTGATATCAACTGCTGTATGTTAGACTAGCTTCATAGTTCATACGTGGTTAGAAAAGAGTATAATCAGTGTACAAACAAGATGCATTAATTTTTCAATGCAGAAATAAGGGCTCGAACCATGGAAAGATATATGGGAATTTTTAGTAGTACATGGTTTGCTTGAATATGAGATCAAGAGAACTAGAACACTTTCAGTGAGGACACCTTGAAAACATGTATTTGGGAGGTGTTTTGATATTCTTGAGCGGTAACTCCAGTAAGAAATGTCACTCTTTTGCTGTAGTTTGTGAGCAGCCCACTTTGAGGTCTGAACCTTTCACACTACTGTGTAACCATATATGCATTCGAAACATACAAAATGCAATGGACACACAACTAGCCAAGTAAGTACATTTCAATGATGGTTTGACGTTTGATTTACAAAATGCAATGGACACACAACTAGCGGAGTAAGTACATTTCAATGATGGTTTGACGTTTGATTTTATATGCTTCTAGTTAACAAATCTTCCCTCCGTCCTCTTTGGTTCTTCCCATTGTCCTTTTTGAGCCGACCCCGTTGGTTCTTCTGAGTGAGTTCAAACTCATTCGAACATACACACATATATGCACATGTATATGCATGTTTTTTCTCTCTATGTCACTCTAAAGTAGACATGTCAAAAATTAACAAAATATTTTTTACACAAGTCTCGAACACAAATACTAGGTTTTAAAATTACCAAACCCGAAAGTGTCTAAACCCAACATGAACCGCCAATGTAAAGTTTTTTCAAAACCGTATACTTTTTAATGAAATATATTGTGATAAAAATATAATGTTATACACATTTAATATTTTCCTAGACCCTACTCTCTAGGTTTTTTGTACATTTAATATTTTGTATATTATTGTTGTGTTTATTTAAAAATTATTAAAAATCAAAAGAGATTATAATTGCTTATATAATGCCACGGTTACCAAAACCCACCACTCTGCGGAGTATATTGTTTGAAAACTTGCCAAAACACAGCCTAAATAAATTAGGACTCAACAGAGTGCATAAAACTTTGAAATGATTTAGCCAAACCCGTTCTCAAAAGAACCTTAGAGGTTACCTTAAAACCCAGATGATTTTTGAAATGCGTGGGCCAGATCCGACCCACCAGAAGGCCCTTCATCGAGTTGCTGATGATGTCTACTTCAAAGGGACAGAGAGAGAAAGAAACAAGCAAGCATATATATGTGTGATTGTGCATATATGTATGTATATTCAAATGAGTATGAACCCACTGGTTCTCACTTGCCAAATTTGGCACTCAAATATAAGCCAATCCCTATTTTACCCTTACTAAGTATACCTAAATACTACTCCTATCTACTACACTCACCCCCCGTCCCGTTTCCTCTTCATCTTCTTGAATAGACCCCCTACCTCTCTTCTTCATCTTCATCTTTGACAGATCAATCCACACACCCCCCCCATTTCACTTCTCTCCTTCGGCCTTTTTTCATCACAAACCTCCCAATTTCTCTCAATCCCGCAGCAGCGAGGAAATAGAAAGCACGGTAGCGAAATAGAAGGGGCAGTGGTGGCTGTTCAGGAAGGTTGCGACGATGAATTAGAAGGGGTGACAATGTTTTGCGATGAATTAGAAGGGGTGGCGATGATCTCGCTTCTTTTGCCCAGTTAGCTTCTGGAGTATCTCGCCTCTCTTTCCTCTTTTTGTTGCCGGCATTTGATGACCGAAGCATTTGGCGGGGGTGGGCGCAGCGACGTGACTTGAGGCAATTTGGAGGAGTGTGGAGGGTGAGGGTTGGGATTTAGAGAGGGCATTTTAGGAATACCAAATACATTTATCACTTACCTAAATAAGCGTGACAAGTCAATATGAGAAGAACCTACTCAACCTAGGAGTATTAAAACACCAGGCTCCTAGAAATCAGAACTAATAACTGTTGGAAATGTGATGACAAGTTGATATTGATGAATCTGATTTATGAGTCTTAGGGTGTAAATAGCCTGAGTATGAAATAGGAAGTGTTGAATACAACAAGCCAGTAGAATCCCGCAACAGTAGGTCCGGGGAAGGTGTGTACAACAACCTTACCCCTACTAAAAGTAGAGGTAATTTCCGAGAAAATAGGAAGTGTTGAATGTATATCAAAAAGCTTCCAGGTTTGGGTTTAGAGTTTGGATATAAGTGGGATAATTAATCCGTGATTAAATATGTTTGTTTTCAAAACTCGGTATTCAAATTTGTGACACTAACCTTATACATTTCATGAAGAAACTGCCGACTATAATGATCACTGAGAATCTTCTGAATGGACTCCCAGCTGGCTAGCTGATGTGACAAAACCAGATGCTTGAGATGAATTTGTGCTCCTTCCACATCAGCAAGTGCCATTAGACCCCTCTGCAATTCTTAGTGTCACAGGGCTTGAATTGAAAAGCATTCCCTTTTCCCAAAATGATCTTTACATTTAAGAGTTAATACCACGAGTCAATTTGGTCAGAATATGTTAACTTGAGTGAAATTAGTCAATGTAGCTAAAACAACAAAGCCTTATCCCACTATGTGGGGTCAGCTACATGGACCAAGGGATGCCATTGCGCCCTATCATTGTTGTTGTTGTTTTAGCTAAAAATGTGAATTATATTAGTCTTTCTGACAGAAATTGTCTTACGAATGTACTGAAATGCTGAGTTGACACGTCAATTGACACACTTGATTTGTAAAGGCACGTAACACACTCATGGTTTCAGTTACACCGTTAAGATAAACTCTGTTAGAGGAACTAACTTAATTCACAATTTTTAGCTACAGGGACTAATTCGACTCAACGCAACATACAAGGACCAATTTGACTCACCAAAATGAGGGACGAAAATGAGTATAAACTCTTATATTTAACTTTTTACGATCATCAATGCAACACTTATTATTGGTACAATCAATACAACACTCTGACCATTGATATTTATATGTATATATAAATAAATATTACTGGAGTATAAAATTTTGATATTTCAAAAATACATATAAAAATGAATCCAATGATATTAAATATACATTCTAAATAAATTTATTTTTCCGCAAATCTAGATCAAAATTTGTGAAGTGTAGCCAAGAAAAAAAGTCAAACGTAAAAATAATTTTAGGATGAAGGGAGTATATGCTAAAAATAGAATTCTAACCACAATAATAGCAACAATATGCTGCCCTTTGACACTTCATATGCTAAAGCAATTCGAAAATGGAACACAACCAAATAACTGATAATTACAGATTTACAGAATATGTTATAGAACCATTAAACTTCTCCAGGGGTCAGGTATGTTTTAAACTGCCCCTGATTAGCACTTACATGGATAAGAGATTCACCAGATGTAAGGACCCCATTTCGAAGCATCCAGGGACTGCTAGAAAAACTGCAGGAAGAAACAACAGACATATCGCATAATCACACAGGAGCAACTATTATGAGCTTTGCTTGAAGATATGACTTCATGTGATAGATATATTACTGAATTATTATGAGTAGCAGTCCTATGTCAGTTTCTTTGCAATTAAAGTTGTTAAAAAAATAATTGTTTTTTGTTTTTAGTGAAGAGTCAGTTAATGTGAGAGAGCAAGAGTTCTCTCTGAGCTCGCTGTAAAAAAATGCCCGAACTCGTCACTTTTGCACCCATTTGCTTTCAAGTATTCACATTTGTACAAAATACACATGATTAAGTGGAAAGAAAGGCTTGCCTCAAAGTCAGTTTGATTGAAGACATATCAAGCAATTCAACATATAATTTCTTCTGCTTTCTTGCTAAAAGATGAATCTTTTGCCATGGTGCACCAATAGGAGTTATTGAAGGCAGCACAGAGCTCTTGCTAATTTCATGATACAAGCTACTGTGCAAGGTGAATTGCTGTTTAAAACGCGATTTCAGAGTTTCAAAATCTAGAGAGTAGGAATACATGGACAAATCTGATTCCAAATCTGAAAGTATCAGTGGGAGGCTTGGGCTCATATGGGGCAGCACTCTTCCCTTCATCCTTGAAGAAACAGACTTGATGAAATCAAGCAATCTCAGAACCACTTCTTGATCAATTTCTAGATGAACCTCAGCCACTCTAGAAGTAAAGTACAAAGAATGTAGAGACGTCAAAGAATGATACAACTAGCATAAACTTAAAGTTGTTTGTGCATAAAACAAACCTTAGGCCAATATATTTAAATGAAAGCAACGAAAGATATCTGTTCCTCCACGTTGCTACTTCCAAGGAGAATGCAGGTTCTTGGCTCTCAGGAGTCGTTTCTCTCATAGCTCTACTACTGGTAATGCCAGTCCTATGATCCAAAGAGAGGATGACTGGGTAAGGAGTAGTAGGCAACTGGTTATCGATCTGTAACGACATAATCTGCAAGGACACCTTTTGTTGATCCAGAGACTGCTTAAAAACAATGGTAATGTTCCTTGCACAAGCGAAAAGTAACTCCTACAGAATAAAATACAAAATGCCAAGGGTCAGTTTTGGCACCTAAAAATTTATTGTGAAACTTGTAAGAAACATTGCCTTAAACAAGGTTGTACTGTTCTGCATATCAAGTTTCAGTACCTCTGGCAAAGAATTTATCAAGGAGATTCCAACAAAAGGAATATCAACCACTATCCTATCATTGAAATGAGTAGCAGATTCAGGCTTCCGGTCATGTTTTCCTTTATCTTTCAATTGTGTAAAATGCAGGCCCCTTGAATCATTTAAATCATGGCAACTTGAGTCGATGATGCGGAGAACCTTACCGTGAACAAAATGGAAATGTATCACATTACAGAAAAAAAAAGAAGTATTAAAAAACCCAAAATCATATACTCCTTAATATGCACCTTAGTTGCTCCTTCAGAACAAACAGAAATACATAGAGTTCTTTCAGGTTTCTGCAAAATGAATGAGAATGCTACAGCTTAACAAATGAAACAATCTTAGATAGTACTCCCTCTGCCCAAAATAAACTGCACAGTTTCATTGTTGGACCATCCCAAAATAAAAGTCCATTTCCTTTTTGGGTAAGGAATATGTGGCCACTTCAACCAAAGGTTCTCTAAAACTCTCTGACCGTCAAAGTTAACTTTTATTTTGGGATGGAAGGAATAAGAAAAAAGATTCAAATGATAATAATAATAAAAATGAACGATAATGACTTCTTGCTGAATACTAGTACTATATACTCGTACATAGCACTCCATCAATCACGTAAAAAGGTTCCGCATTTGACTTGGCATGAAGATTAAGAAAAGTGAAATTGTACGGTTGAAAGTGGTGTAGATTAGAGAAATTATATCAAAAGTGGAAAGTGAAACTTTTTTTAGGAGAAACGAAGGATATGAGAAACCTTTTTATGGGACGAAGAGTGAGAGAGAGAGAGAGAGTCAGAGAGAGAATGTGCATGTGTATAAGAACACATACCGTAGTCTAATCGTGACATGGTGTATATGAATATCATAGTGCTTCACATACATGCCTTTAGTTCATACTCCCTCCGTCCGGCATCGATCTTCCCATACACTATTCGTAAGGTCAAACTTTACTCGCATTGTTTGCTTATTTTCACAACACATTTTATAAAGCATAGTCATGTCACCTCTTGTTTTGTAGAACTTCTTATGTAGTTTTTTAACAATATAAATTTTATTTTTTAATTTTACACTTACAATCAAATAAATTGAATTGAAAATAAAGTCGGTCAAACCTCTTAACAAGTGATGGGAAGACCTATGCCGGACGGAGGAAGTACTAAAAATAATGCTTAATGAAGATGCCAAATTATATCGGTTTAAATTTCTAGGGTGCCAACTTCCAATCCATGACCTAAATGTCACCGCTGCTATTCCGCATGATACTATCTTTATGTTCGGAGGGAGGACTACAATCATTGTGCTAGTATTTGCATGTCATTTAATGATTTAACTGAAATGAATTTGTGTCTAATGTCATAAAAGTTGCAACATTCCTTTCATTATTTTGTTGTTTAACTCTGAATATATGCAGTCCAAAGTCAGAATATTACAGCAGACAGCATAAAATACCTCATAAGTTGCAGATAAGCAAACATGCCCATACTCCTTTACATCATCAAGAGTGTAGGATCCTATGATACGCTCACCAGGAACCTTTCAATTTTAAAAGATAATTACTCTAAATGCATCCGCTAGAAGCCGTCTGGCAGTCAAATGTAGATAATTATACCTCAATAGTTAAACGATGTGGGTAACATGGTTCATCCCAAGCATAAGGGCAAGAACTGTAAGAGTGAATCATTGTTTCGAAAGCATCACATTTTTGCTGGTAAATGCGAATCCTCTACATTTAATCAAAGACATGATCATATAATAAGTAAATATGATAATGTATATTTGATTATTTTGTACTATGTTTTACATTTTAATGGTTAAGAACATAGATTAAGAAACTCATTAAATATTTTGAAATTTTGCAAAATAAGTACTGCCTACACCCAAACTACCCTTAATTGATACCTCTTCTTGGAACTGTTACAAATTGCTTTTAACGAGAATTGAGATTAAGAAGAATGGAAAAAATGGGATATTTGTATCAAATGGTCTCAAACATTTAAAAAGTGATAGCTATTGTGAAACAAATATGCTCAACTAAAATGACAGTATGGATGAAATACTTGATATCAAAAGTCATGAGTTGAAAAGAATGATAAAAAGTTAAATGTAAGCTATGTTAAACTGCACCCTTATCATACATCAACAATTCAACATATTCCTGATCTCATTGGCATGAATGTATTTGCCACATTACTATGAAGTATAATAAACTAACCTCCTTTGTAAAATTATCAATTCTGTATGGCATAAAGCCTGTATCATCGTCTGACAAAAGAACAAGGTTTGTCCCAGAGTTACCCTGAGGGCTTTCAACAATCTTTTCATCTCTAATGGAGAAATCAGCACTTTGCACTTCTACACGAATCATATTAACAGCGCCAGAAACAAAGTTTCTCATTTTCACCTGAGTATCCCCTAAATGTTCAGGCAAGAAGCATCCTGACCATTGCCATCCAGGTTCAACAAACCGAACCGAAAGTAGTAATTCCCTGGAAAATGTTGGAAGCAAGATACTGACTATTACAGGAAGCAGATAAGATAACAAATAATAGCCGCATTGAAAGACAATAGACAAAGAAGCACGAAGTGTAAAAATGAAGATTCTACTGGATATCGGGAGAGGGAAAAAAATCCCAACATGATTTTTTTTACGTCCCCAACATGACTCTTGGATGTTTACTAAAATAATTTTTGTTTAAAATAAAACACACACATTTAAAAATTCATTCTCCCTCTGTCCCTAAACTATTTCCTTTTTTGACTTTCACGGAGTTAAAGAAAAGTGTTGAAAAGTGAAAAGGAGTGGTTAGTTTTTCATGAGAGAATCTTTTTTAGCCCCATAGTTCTTTCTTTTTAAGGAAAGTTAATATTATTTTGGGACATCCAAAAAAGGAAAGAAGGTTATTTAGGGACGGAGAGAGTAGTTTACAAATATGACAGTTTTAAATTCAGAAAGTTTTAAATAAATAAACTTTTAAAAATAAATAACAAATTAGGAATTCAAAATCCATGTTTAGTTCACTAGTTGTCACACGGTGCTTAGTAATCTCATACGAGTAGTTGATAACCAATGCCTGATAAAAAAAATATATAGGCTTAACAGGATTATCATATATTTACTTCACCAAGAGTCCAAGATTAAATCGTGTCTTAAGTAGACCATAATATATTTGTTCCAGGAAAAAAACAGTCAAATGATTATTTTTGTAGTGTGGTGTGACGATGGGGATTGGGGTGGATGATACCTTTATGGCTGAGATTAAAGATCACATTGGAATATGGGGAAAAAGTATTGCCAAATGGGGATTTACAATGTTGATAGCAATATTAACTGCAGTGGAATTTGGAAGCAACTCTTCTTTCAAGACAGCCAGATCTGAGAGAACGGTTTCAAATGTAGTTTTTAGGGCCTCAGTAGAATGGTGGTATTATTGAGAGCATTTAGGCTTAGTTTGACAAAGAATGGCATGTTTTGTTTTGTGCACTGACTCTCTAAGTTTTTTATTTCTTATTTTTCAGTTTATATACATAGAACATTGTGTCCTCGTTTGCATTTACTTATTTTGTTCATGCCATTTTCATCTCATATTTCTCAGTTTATGTACAGAGAACATTGTTTCCTTGTTTACATTTACATATTTCCTTCATAAGACTTAAGATACTCTTTCGATAATAAAAAAGGTGGAACCCCCATCCCCATGCTTTCAGGGTCGGTGGGGGAGGTAAATCGCAAGATGCGCCTCAATCAGCGAGTACCCGAGAGCTTGCCCACAGATCTCACCTACGAGGGAGCCAATTCCACAACCTTTGTTGGGAATCAGACCCCCACTCCGTGGACTGGCAGACTGGCAGGCACAACACCACTCTCGGTCTTTGTTGTTGAGCTATGCCGGAGGCGGGAGGACTCTTTCAATAAATAAAATATATATGGAATGATGATACCCCAAAACGGGGGGAAATAATTCATCAAGGACACAACACAATATGAGTTTAAAACAGTATAAGGTATTACACCTTGTTGTATCAATCCATTGAATATGAGAATGTTTTCCAGCCTCTAAGAAGAAAATATCATTGGTTCCCTTTTGCCTGTAGCACACATCCTTATTGCATGCATTACTGATCACGTATCTGCAGAATTACAGTGATTTTTTGGCAACTTCTTGATAGAAATGATCAATAATGTAAATAAGTGCCGGCATGCTACTTGATGCATGCATGAAATTCTAAAATAGGCTTAAAAAGTAGTTTCTTTTTTTTAAATAATAGTATTTTACACAACATAATGGTTTCAACTCTCAAGAGTGTACCTGGGTTGAAAAGAGATAATTTTTGTCCTCCCAGAGAATGGTGCATCAGTAGCACTAACAGACATTATATAGCCAGAAGTCTTGGATGGTTGTGGGACAATAACAGAAGTTGAACCAGTAGGCGGAACAAGGGAAAAAGCATTTGACCAATGAGAGTAAGGGGCATGATTTGTTATGCAAGGAGATAGGAATCTACAAACCTTTACCACAGTTTCATCTGAAGAGAAACTTGAATCAGGAGAAAACATGCAGCAGTTAACCTTGTCACTTTCATTTTCCAACAAATCAGAAGACCTCAAACTCGATTGGCTGCTTGGTCCTGACCAATTCTTAAAAGTTGAAGGCTTTTGGCTATACATACTATGGGTATGTGAATACTGATGCACAACTGTATATGAGAGGAATGGCCTGGCATGTTTTTCAGATCTGTTTTCATTTGAATTTGTAATAGGGTGACTGTTTACCGATATAGGCAACCTATTGTCTAGTGGAGCTATATCAGAATCAAGATCAGGTGATAGGAGACCAAGTCCATCCTTCTTGCTAGGGACAAGGTCTTTCTCATCCAAAGCATAACATGAAGGAACAATGCAATAATGTCCTTTTGTCTCATTGATAGCATTGGATACAACAAGTGGCAACCACGTGCAATTATAAAGAAGAAATGGAACTGAAATGCACAGTTCACGGGCTCCAGAGAATGCATCCATTACCTTCTCAACAGTAACACATAAAGGACCTACAAAAGAAGGAAATTGTAACAAATTGAAATAAAATTGCTACTCTGTAAGATATCTGTAAGCAAATAGAAATTACCACAACTTGATATAGGATCAAAGGTGACTGTATCCCACGTAGAAAATATTGTTCCACTGCACTTAGCTGTCTCTACAAATGTTTCAGCACGTGGAAATTTTATACTTGAAGGGTTGAATCCACACAAGTGGAATGTAATTGTCAGGTCATGTGAGGAATCAATGTGAAAAAAAGAATTTTCCACCTGAAAATAATTAGTCTATCAGTAAAGAAAAAAGTAAAAAAAACAGGAAAAAGATTGTCTTAAATCTCCCTTGCTAAAAATGATGCAAACCTCTGACAGTAACGCAGAACTTGTAACACCACCATTTTCTATCGTGATCGATACAGACTCTGGAAGATAATTTTTCAAAACTAGAGGGCTGCTAAGAGTCATTCTATGGATGTACCTCTTTTTTGATCTTAATGTATTGTGTGATAATTCATTAAATGTTTCAGAAGTTCCAAGTACATCACATTTGGAATGCAATACACCCATCTTAAGTGGTCCAGGTGAAGGTAAGCTCCAATCACAAACAGAGATGCAACAACGGAACGGATCACTGCTTGGATGAGATGGATAGCAAACAAAAGAACGCAAGATGCTGAGTCTGTTCTCATGTGAAAGTATATTCTGAATATTATATGCTTCACTCCACAAGTAAGCACTTCCAACAGGACGCCATTTCATGAGCCCTGCTTCAGCCAAATGTAGAGGAAGAGGACATTGCTGACCAGGATATATTGGGTCCAGAATCTGAAATTGAAACGACATGTATCCTTACAAGCAAAATGGCAAAAATATAAAATTGCATATAATACAGAATGGGGCAATGGAACATCCTTTTTCTTTCTATCATGGTACCTTTGGAGATACACTAAATGGAATATCTAATCGTACTTCAAGTGGCACAGAAGTTGCATTTGACAGTAACACCTGACCAGATATATTTCAGAGGCATCATAAAGCAGATCAAGAAAAAATTCATATACAAACTATTTTCTGGTAATTGTGTATACCGTTGAGTACAATCGCACTATCTTTGTATAAGGCCGTATGGATACATCGATGACCACAGGAACAATAAATCCATCTTTTGATTCTGTGCAAACTTCGCCTTCAACTGTTGTACATATTTTCAAGGCATCCCCATTTGTAATTGAACCAGTTCCACTCGAGGTTTTTGAAAAATCCACCTCAAAGCACCTCATGCCTACAAGATCCATTGAGAAAGGACCGGATGGCATTGATGTTCCCTCAAGTTGAAAAGAGATTAAATGATGTGCTGCACTAGATGATTGTCTCTCACGAAGTCTATCTGGGCACTGAACGTAGTTATAGTGTATAAGTTTGTCTGGAGTATCTTCCACATCAATCGGTACAGAAAAGCCAGGTTGCAAAACCTTTCCACTTTTTGTCAATGATAATCCCAAAGTATTGCTGACATTTTCCCCAGTATGTACGTCGAAAAATATGGGCAACGAGGTCAAATTCTGCAGTACATATGGAGCATGCCTTCTGCCATGCAGATTTGCACTTAAACGATAATCATTTAAGCTCAAGCTTTCTGAACTCGTACTCATCTCTATGGTGCCCCAAGCATCTTTAATCACCTCAACTGTCCTAGAAATAACCTTTAATAAAGACATTACAACATGTCAACCACTTCAGACAGACTTTTTAAAATATACTCCCTCTAGTCCATAATGAAGTTTACTTTTTGAGTTCACATAGTTTAAAAAGAGTTGAAAAGCAGAAAGTGTGTGATTGGAATATATTTAGAAGAGAGAAATGTTACGAGCCACATAAAAGCTTGCATGGACAGTATCACGAAACTAACTCCATGAGATGTACAACTTTCAACTAAAACGCAGAGTAATACTTTGGTCTAAAAAAAGTGTGAAAAAGAAGGCATTTTGAGAGGCTTAGAAGTGATTGTTTTGAGCTAAAAATTGACAGATTTCAAGAAAGATAACCCTATGAGTTTGTCTTATGCCACTGTTGCTACTTAAGTTAATATCTTGAACAAAATTATGGAAGAAGACGGGGAAGATTCCACTACATTTTTTATCCACATCAGAAAAAAATCTAGAAACCAGGGACAAATACTCTAAATTACTTCGACCAAATGTCTATTGGAACATCAGGCAACAAAAACATAAACAAAGAAAATATAATCCCAACACCATTAGGGTCTGGAGTGGGGAGGGTGAAGTTGTACGCAAACTTACTGGAGGTGGACATGTGTGGGGCTACCCTTCCAATCCCAAAGGCCCCACCTTTCTCTAAGCGGACTTTGACAAAAAACTAAGGCTCAAAGGCCAGGCATTGGACAAAAAGAAATACTCATTTAATAAATGGGTGGTGCTTTAACAAACTTTCTAAGCCCAGTCCCGGCCCAAATCTACAGCTGTAACGATATATGGAGCACAATATTATATGCATGTGAAATGTGTGACCATTTATGATGCATAACCAATTAATTAGGTCAAATTTATGCTAGAATTACTTTTTGCATTACACTTTTTTACATTAGCTTATAGTTTTCTCCTTTTTGATTTATTCCAAATTTTAATATTTTCATACATATGCATTGAAAAAATACATTCTCATATCTATGTTACTATATTTTGGATGAGCTTGGTCGGACCATGGACACAATTTTTTTTGTTGGTGGGATCAAGCTGGGCCGGGCTTGGGCATACAAATTTTGATGATTATAGGTGTACTCCCCAAATTTCACAAAATGTATGAAGCAAGGGAAGTTTAATGTGCCATTTTAATTAATAGTCCATTACTTACGCGAAACTAAAACATTATAAAAAATGACTCTTTTAGCTCAATTGGCAATGCGGGCTAATGTAACTTTAGATATTAAAAAAATTAAATCATATGATTTTTTTCTTAGCTCCTTTCTGTTCTAGCCTGTAATGTCACAAAACGGGACATTAATTCATTACAATGCTTAAAGGGTCCATGAACTTCCCAGTTTTATATGTGGAGTACTATTAGTATTTGCATACAACAACCCAGTTGGATCCCACGAAAGTAGGGTCTGGGGAGGGTGTGTGTACACAGACCTTGCCCCTACCTGAGAGTAGAGAGGCTGTTTCCATGAGACCCCCGGCTCTTACAGAGTATTTGCATACAATATCATAAATGCCGAATCCAGACCTGTCAATTCTTATTGACGGCAAATATTTGCTGCAAGGATTAAACAATGTGTACCTCAATAAAGGATTCAGTGATGTTCAAGTTAAGCTGAGAAGTAGATTCAACACGAATTTCAGTTGCAGCTTCAGTAATAAGAGAAGTCTTGTCATGTATTCTGCTTAAGAATAGATTGAAACTCCATAGCTCTATAAATGGTTCCCAGAAAACCTGACAAAACCCCCCAAAGAAAGTATTTATTTGTGACTAAAGGAAAAGAATAAGAAAACACACATACATTAAGAACTCTACATTACCTTGTCAATATTATTATAGTTGGCTTGTATGTCACACTCAACTGAAACCTCAATGTCCTTTTCATTTATCCTTGAGTGAAGTAGTAGGTTGCAGATAAGAAACTCCAGCAGAGGCCCAGCAGAACTCAACTGAAACATAAATAAGTTGAATAAGCATAACTTGAAAGATATAGAAGAAAGCCATGTCTTCTCCGAATATCTAGTTTCTAAAAGTGAAAGGAGATATATGTACATCAAACTTGTTTCATGTAACATTCAGAAAGGTGAGAAAAAGATCAACAAATGATACTAGAACAGCTCTTTTCTTCCAACTTTATTGCCTTATGTTTCCTTTTAAATATCAAAAACTGGCCTCAGTAACATTTTGAAGGATGCTTAGAAAGTAATACACATTCACATAATGCATACCATTAATGCAATTAACAAATGAAATAGGCTCAGATGTGTGCATAATTGCTGACAGGACTTTTGAGATGAAATGTGCCTAGTCAAGTGAAATATAGCAGTAAACAGAGTAAAAGTAATGGCATACATGACACTTGTGGAGAATAGTGGGGAGGAAAGAAGAGTGAACCGTTAGAAGTACCAGACTGTGAGGAAGATAGTAAGTTAGCAGTTACAACAGAAAAAACTGCAGCTTTAGAGAAGATGTACAAGAATCTGGAAGAGAAAGGAGGTGAGAAGAGGTTGTTTTGGTTGGCATAGGTGAGAGCAGAAGGCTCACAATCTTGATCAAGTAAGATGCATAAAGGATGTTGGAGGTAGATGGCAGTCCTACCTTCGTAGACTCATAGGCCCTGTTTATTTGAAGGGAAAATGGAAGGAAAGAAAGGGGATGGAAGAATAACATCTTCTCTTGATTGATAGAATGGAAATAGTACTCGTACAAACAATGACCATGGCCCCCTAAAATATTTTTCCTCATAGTGGACGGAAAATTAGGAAAAGTGCTCCACTTTTTATATTTCCTAAATTACCCTGATTATTAGACAATTTCTAACTTAATACTTTGACAAAATTGTCATTTAACTTCACTTTTTTCTTCTTTCCTTCTCTTTTTTCTTTCGTCAAAACTTATCTTTGGAAATTAAAAGTTCATCCTATTTCCTTTCCTTCCTCTCCAAGCGTTGCCGGTGATGTCGCCTTCTTTGCCAGCATAGGTGGGCTGGTGAGAGTAATTGTCTGAGGGAGAAATAAGGAGAACTAGAACTTAAGTGAGCACTTGGAGTTTACAAAAAAAAGGTTAGTGGACAAAAATAGTTGGACGTGCCAAAAAGGAAAAGTGGACAAAAACACTGAAACGGATGAAGTATTTATGAGATTGTTTTAATATATTGCCTTTGTTCCTCGTTCTTGTGAGCAAGAAACCATCCTGAAAGAACCACAATGGTATGGGTAAGGTTTGGGTACACCCTCTCTAGTTGTTCTTTAACAAAGTAATAGCAATGGAGTTGAAAACAGAAATATTATCGCTTATACTAAATTTTGTTTGAGAACAACCCAGCATGATCCCACGAAAGTAGGGTTCGGGGAGGGTGTGTGTACAAAGACCTTGCCCCTACTCGAAAGTAGTTTAGTTTGAGAAAGATCATATAAAATATTAAAATCCAAACACCTCATGACAAGCAGAATATTTCTTGTAAGCCAAACACATGGAAATATTTTGATAAAACGGATAAGACCTTTGTCTTTTTATAATTCCATTTAAAAATTAAACAATGCATTCTGCATTAATTAAAAGCTTAGCCTGTTAGTGAAGAGAAATGTTTAGTACACAAAGCTGAAAATACTTTCAATGTTATAAGTTTATAAAGGTCTTAGCTATATTAGAAGACAATGCCTATCAAAATTAAACTATGAAAGAGCTCAAAATGAAGGTAGAACTGTCCTAAATAAGTAAATATATCTAGTATTCACGCACTATTTGTGTGAAATGTACACATAAGCTAAAGGTATGAGAGCAGTTGGGTGAAGATAAACAATTGCATAGTCAGCATATAGAAGACCTCATATGTCAAAAAGATAATAGAGAAACTCAAACACAAAGAGTACCTTTCCATTAGTTACAATAAGAGATGCCTTCCTTAAGTGGACTTTAGAATCCATGCAACTGATAATGAATTGAGAAGTTCCAGCAGCTTGACTTTGAAATTTCCCTAAACACCAGAAATAAAGCATTTGATCCGAAAGCCACACATCCAGATTATCACATTGAATATCCAATCTCCCACGGATATCATCCAATAGACAAGATGAAATGTCAGCATCCAAAGTGACTTGAAACAATTGAAAAACAGGCAAGCTATGCAACTCATCCTCCCCATGGAGCTCCACTGACCCCTTTATTTGATCCAAACAAATTTCAAGCCTCATACTCTTCCCATGTTGAACCAGTGTCGCAGTTCCTCTTTGCAATGTAACTGCAAGAAAGCCATGTTGATTTCCATAAATCATGATTTGCAAGTCATTCAGAGGATCATAGTGGTTTCCTTCAAACACATTGAATGCATCATTTCTCAGCCAAACTGGAATATGAACTGTTGCACCAGCAACATCCATCTCAATCCTAAACAATCGGGCAGAAGGATTCACATTTTTAGAATCGAGACATGTTGGAGTGCTTGGAATCCTATGACAATTTCTTGATGCATCAATTTCCTTGGTTCCAACTTCATCTATATGAACAAAAGTAAGATTCTCTGGAGAGATGCTCAAAGTATGAGATGCAGGGTGTTCTCCAACACAAGAATGAACTAAGTCAAGCAACTCACTCCAGTCAAATGTATGAAGCCAAACATCTACAGAAGGAATGTAAAGGAGAAGGCTATATTCATTTTCTTTTGATATTGAGTAAGTCAACTTTAAAGCAGCAAAACTAGAATTCGGAGTGCATTCAAAGAGCATAACAGAATTCAGAAATGAAAATAGCGATAGGGCAGAGAATGAAATCTTAAGGCATAGAAGTTCGTCATTTCTAAACGAAGCCGAGCAAGTAAACTGCAAATTAGCCTCTGCAATAATATCAGAAGAGACTGAATCTCCTTTTGTATGATGCAGTCTCAAAGACATTGACTTCACACATGCATTGACAATCATTAAGTTTTCCGATGAGGAAGCAGGTGGAGATGCATTATCTTCCCTCAGTTGTCTCTCAAGTTTAAGAAACTGAGAAGTATTTGAGTTATATGCTTTGGATCGTTTCTCAGTCAAGGAGAACTGGTTTATGATATCCACCAACGCTTCAAATGCAACTAGTACTGAAACACCTGTAGAAAAGGTAGAATATAATCAATGATAGAGAAGGTTGAGTTGTGATCCAATCAGAACAGAATAAAAAGTTGCTACCACCTCCACCTGCAAGTTGACAATCATTCACCATAGTCGTGATGGATATCGGACAAGAAGCTACCGCTATAGGAGGCTCACACTGAGATGGTATTCTTATCCATAATTTAGCCGTTAGGGGGGAAATTAAGGTAATATGCCTTTTCATGACATTATGGGATGAGACAGAGCAAGGAGGCATATCTTCTTTTGATACTAATAGTGAAAGGGACAGGTCATGCCCAAACAAGTTTAAGCAATGGTTTCTACGAGCAAGATCATCAGCATTGACCAAACATTCTGATGGAATATTCTTAAGGGCAAACTCAATATCTACATTTCCAATAAAACTACCACACAGCTGTGGAATATCTAGTTTTAGATGTTGGTACCCATCCAGTCCTACAGGTACAAACAAAATTGACTCTAAAATATCAAAATTATATGTGATGGATGATGTACTGGCTACCAAGTCAATATGGTTAGAATTTTCAACTATAGGTGGTTTCCTCGGGGTGGGGCTCCAATCGGGTAGTGAAAAGTAACCTATTATGACTGCAAGAAATTCTGGAGGTAGAACACAAGACACATTCTGGATGCCAAAGCTCAGTTCCAAGAGAGATTCCCTTGATTTAGCAGTTTCTTTCCTCATGCAAAACTGGAAAATTGGAGAAACAGTAGGTGTCAACGGACCCCAAAGAAAATCATAGGTCTGCTGAGGCCACCATAATGAAGACAGGATTAATCCTTCGGTAGAACAAACAACATCTAAAAATTGTTCCGTAATGGAAAATGTCGACCGAGCACTAGATAAAGAAACACTTCCAACAATGCTACAGGAATCATGAAACTGGATTTTGATATCGCGAAGATCTAAATTAATGGTGTGCATCAAAGCATCATTAATACATTGATAGGACGGATTAGATGCAAATATACTCTGCTCATTAGATCTCTTGTTAGAGTTAAATACAGAACTCCAGATATTATGATCACTTATATCTGGAAGTTTCCTCTGCTCAGTGGAGGAAAAGATAAGTGGACTCCCAGGATTGGAAATAGAGCAAGGTTTTTTCATGATAATAAAAGGAGACTGCTCCAATGGATCCCATTTTGAAGAAGTAGAACAGAAGCTTGAGGCAATAAATTCTTCACAAGGAAAATAGGAGCTTGAAAGAGATATTTCATTGTTTGCTCTGGCAGTATTTTCAACTCTGATATATGCTTCAGATATTTTATCAAAAAATCCAGTCAAATTCCCAATAATGAAAGGGTAGCAGTGAACATCAAGACCACTCAAGCATAACTCATATTCACGTGAAATCATTTCTGAACTATTGCAAACTTTGTAATGCAACCGAAAGGACTGCTCCATGAATGTTTTTGATGAGCACAAGACATTGTCCTTTTCATCAATCTGACTGGAATGGCATTTGACTTCCAGTGTCTTAATGGAAATCCAGCATTCCATAGTTTTGCTTTTATCAACACTGCATTTTCATAAGATGCATGAGAGAATGACTAGACACGGGCAAGTAAATTAAATCAATCCCCAAGATTATTCTGAACATATTACGGAGTATTAGATTTATTTACAGCTCATAGGAAGCATTATAAGAAGTTCTTGAAATAATTTATCCCTTATATGCAGTATTGCAGTTATTAATTCATGGCAAACTCTGCAGAAAATTGTATTAGAATATGTAAAAGAAAGGTGTTGAAAAACAAAAGCGCAATATAAATAGTATGAACGGATTTGGCAAATTAAATGAGTTGACATAATTTTTAAGTCACGACTCGTGAACCCCAACATTGCTGGAATTAAGGTGCTGATGATAGTCAACATTGCTGGAATGAATGAACGCTAGTCAACAAAGAGCAGTGTTATTGAAAGAAACTGGACAAAAGTTTGCTATGTCATTCTGCCAGGTCCACTATTTGACAGCACTGCCAAACATAAGCAAAGGATACTAATAATATAATTGGATGAAATTCAAGCAACTTTTTTTCAAAGTTTCAGAGTTAATTGTTGTTTAACTAAATATGGGACATAAAATTATTGTTAGAAGACAACGCACCGAATGTCAAACTCCTGAAAAGAGAGTGTGAGGCTACAAGGATTCCCAGCATCAATTTCAAGATCAATAAAAAGAGCAACAGATTTCACATCCGCATTTGCAGAAATCCAGAAAATATTCAAGGGAGCAAATCCACTGGGCCTTTTCCTAAGCATATATGAATCTGAAGAAAGTTGTGTAAATTGTGGCAGAATAAAATCTGTTATTAGTTCTGTAAGTAAACCATGAAGAGATGGTGAAATGTGAGCAACAATGGATGACACTTCCATGCCAACCTGAAAGAAATATAAAAACAAGTATTCATGACATGTATCCATATGATGCACACATTCATAAGCAAGTCCATTAGATATGGCATCCTACTGGTGTTTAGAGGCTGAACTAATAACATAGGCTCTAGGCACTCATTTCATAATACAAACACAAATATATGAACAATCATACATTAAAGGATCCGGGTCCTTTTGATGAAATTTATTAGTTACTCCCTCCTTCCCAAAATAAGGTTCCACATATAAACTAACACGGTTATTAAGAAAGCGAGGATTTTGTGGTTGAGACTTATGGAGAGGAGAGAGCATAAATGTGAAGTATTGTGAACCACACAATTCATTCCTTAAAATGAAAGACGAGCCTTATTTTGGAATAGATAAAAAAGAAAATACACAACCTTTTTATGGGGCTGCTGGAGTATTAAACAAAAAATTGAGAAGGAAGCATTTCACTAACTACACATATGCAGGATAATAGTATAAAAAGAGCTAGCAATATCATAACATAAATTATCTAAAAATCATTTTAAAAAAACCATCCTAACCTCAAGTCTTTTCAAGACTGATTCATCTGGAATAATGCACAACTTCAAGGCAAGCGAACCATCGAACCTTTCAATAATGGGGAGAGGCACATAAGAGCAAGAAGCCCATAAATTCATCTGCAAATTGTTACAATTTACAACTTGTGCATCAAAATGCCCTTTTGTTTACAGGGCCAACATACTAAGAGGCTGTTTGGTTCAAGGAAATGAGCACTTATGTGAAAAGAGCACTCAACACTCGCCAACTTCAACCCCTCTTCTTCTAACCCAGCCACCAAACTTCCATGTTGCCCCCACTCCACCTCAGCAGCCGCCACCACTTTCCTCCATGAAAAAAGGCATGCACAAAGTCCAAAAAACTTTGAGTTTCAACCTAAAATCTGGTTGTTGGCGATACATAAGGATGATAGTGGTGTATTGTAGTGGAATGTGATGGTGGTGGTAGTGTGCAAGACAGTGGTAGTTGAAAAGCAGATTTGGGAGTCAGATGAGACGGGGGTGGAGCTGGCTATGGAACAAGGGCTTGAGCCAAACTCTAAGGAGTCGGAGGGTGTCATTTCCAGACCGCGGGGGTGGGTGGGTATGGCTCTGGGTTCAAAAATGGTAGGAGTTTTTTCTAATGTAACACTGGTATGGAAATGGGGTCATTCTAACCCTGTCCCTATACCCGGAAAAACACCAACCAAAAAGCCCCTAAAAGGAAGTAAACTTGACATTCAACAGCACACTGACCTGAAAGTTGCTTATAGTGATCTCGAAGTGATCGTATAAATCTTGAAGTTGATAACCCTCAATAAAATCATCCAACAAATCAGAAGTTGCCATTACAAAGCCCTTATTGTTCTTAGAAACAATGGATAACTCACCAACATCCAATACCTGCGCAACTCATATCATTGAGATAGTAGAGACTAGAGACGATAAAATGATGGAAGCATCTTCTAGTTGTAGAAAATAATAGTCAAGATAATCGATATTAAAATGCTTGGGAGTTGGGACCAATTAGGTATCTGCTATGAATTCATTAAAAGAACCTTAAGAGTTTTCAAATTGAAGTTGCCTTAGATTGCTTGATCTTTGGAAAACACAGTAAAGTACTTAAATGTCTACTTTAATCCATATATATCCAAAATAGCACTCGGTAAGACCAGCACAAAAGTTTTCACATCACACACGGGCCATGGCATTTTGGTGTTGCACACTTGCAGTGGAGGGTCATCTTTCATCCATAGACAAGGTGGTCATAACCCTCAAGAAGCTACTCATGTCACCTCAATCATAAATCTAATTATATTGCATAGCAATGACACATGATACACCAAAGTAACCGAATGCTGCTTTTTGTTGGAGTTATAGCTTAGAAATAATGGAACACTCCATACGTCTCACAAGGATTTTCCCATGTTCCTTTTTTGTATGTCCCAAAGAATTAAAGGCTTGCAATAATTCTCTCTTCTAAACAAATTAACCAAACACTTTTCACTTTTCAACTATTTTACTAATCTCCGTGAAGTCAAAGTGAAAAAATTTTTATGGAATGGAGAGAGTAAATTGTTAGAATCCTTTATTGGCAAAGAAAACATGTGATAACAGTTAATCATCCAGATTCCAGATGATTACAAGTTTTTTGTCAAAAAAAGAGTATGTCAAAAAGGTAAGTAAATAAAAAAATCAGAAAGATGAGCAGGAAATAGAAAGTTGGAGAACATATTAGACATCGCCTAACCTCTGATCTGATTAACTAAATTTCCATGTTTAATTGAGTTTATTTCTCATTACAACTCTTTAATCTCAAAGTTGTTTAACTTTCAAGAAGGGTCTGATGAGATGCAAAGAAAAATAGGCCATGAAAGTGAGCCAGAAAGCTGCTAAAGCACAATGTGAAGAAGAAAGAGTTGATATGAAGAACAGAGATTTGTACATTGATGATTTAGAAAGGAACATTTATACACCTATGCAAAGGTTCTTCATAAATCATATTCATACTTGGCAAAGCCCATCATATTGAGTAACTAAATACCAGTTTGTGCGCTTCAAAATTTGCTTTTCCCCATGGAATATTGATGACAATGGTTGCAAAATTAACATCCCACAACATCTTCTTGCGGTGTGATAACATATAGCTGAAAGGAAATAAAGAACATAAAAAAACGGGTGGCTAAGAAAGCAAATCATATGGGAACTATGTTTATTTCAATCCATTAAAAGCGCATGAGTATTAGAGGTTATAACTCATATAACAAGGAATATGCCACTGGCAATGCTTAGTACTTACTCAACTTTAGATAGAAGTCTTGACTTGATGTTGTCAATCCCATTCATGGATAAGAGAATCTGAAGAGGAAAAGAATTATCAGAGAGCCACTACAAGTGAAAAAAGAAACACAGTATAATCCCAAGTCCCAACACAGTATAATCCCAGCTCTGTTGGGGTTTGGGGGTCAAGATGTAGTCAGTCTTACCTCTATAAAAACCAGAGAGACTATTTCCATTAGACCCTAGATGCATTGTTGCATATACCACCCAAAACTTTTTTAAATGTAAGAAGCATAAGAAGTTAAATACTTTAATTTGCTACGGAGTATTTCTTATTTAGTCCATTATTTAACAGAATATAAAACATTGTCAAAAATTACAAGTTGGATTCATGTGTACATTTTACATAGCAGTGCATTTCAGGATCTACTTTAGAAAACCTTAAGACACATAGCATATCAGACTTTAAGCCACCTCGAAAAATAACAATGACCAAGAACATGTTAAATCAAATGAGAAACCAATCATAGCTTCATCATGTCATTCCTACCATAATTGTTAACTATTTGAACAAATCAATTATAATAAGAAATCACAAATACACTTACCCTGTAATTCAAAGTTTCAAACTCTTCCACAACATGAAAAAGGGCCAGAATGTTATTTACGAAGTCTGAATTGTATGTCAGTTCAAGCGGCTGAACTATGACCTGAATTAAAAATTCTTGGACACAAACAATCAGGTGAATGGTGTTAAAAACGATTCAAACAAGAAGGCTATATAGGAAGTAGCTTAACTGATAGGTTGACAACTTTGTGTGGAGAATGCATATCAGCATGGATATTTATAAGAGGCTGTGGAAAGCTGATTATGCCTCCATCGTGGTCCACCTGGACAATTATGAAAAGGAACCTCTTTTTCAATAAACAAAAATTTTACAAGAGAACATTTTCTTAAGAGTAGTACTTCGATAATCTTATCAAATCAATCATGTTTGAAGAGTTATGAATCTAGACTCTTTTATATCCTTCGTCCTACCCGCACTAACAGGGCTCTTGTTAGTAAAAAGCCATTATATTATGTTATTACTTATTAACAATCTAATAATTTAGTTGCAATATTATCAAATCGACTGCTAATGTAATCAGTCACCTAATGCAATTAGCTTCTATCTTAAATGTGGTGGCAACTCTTTGCCTCTCCATGAGACCTCCAAACTCTGAACCTCTAAGCAATGTCTACAACAACCATAAACTCAACATAATCCTAAGTACTTTATGTTCTGGGTGGGGTATCAAGATGTGCCATACCTTACCCCGTAAAAAAACAGAGAGGCTGTTTGTGTTAGGCCCTCGATGCATTGCTGCATTTACTACCCAAAACTTCATAGAAAGGAAGCAACGAAAATTTAATGTGACAGTATTTAATCCATTACCTGGACTAGGCTAAAACATTGTAAAAAAAATGGCTCTTTTAGCTCCATTGGAAATTTCAACAACAAAAAAAGCTCCATCGGCAATGGACGCAATATATACAAACTAGTAACCGCTAATACATAATTCTTGCTAACACTATAAATACTATTTATTTGTTTTGGGGGTGATCTATTAGTCCTTTTGACTTGTTCTTTATTTAAGTAAAGGAGTGCTTCAGCATTAGCATAAGTCCTAATTGGTGTCCATCTCAAAATATTGATCTTATTTTATTATACAAGTGTATCCTTTCCATTTCTTCATTTCTTCAAACTAAATGCCAACTGCCAAGGGACCAAAAACTAAAATCATATTCCTATAAATGAGTTTTAGAAAAAATGCCAACCCTTGTGAATAAGACGAGTTCATTGTTGATTGGATTCAGCATCTCACAAGAGCAAATTTTGGCATTAAAACTTGTCTCTTCCTCCCAAATCTCACTTTCTACTGAGATTTCATTCAGTGTCAGATGAGCAATTGCACAACCCAACTTCCTACAAGAACATGGTTGGAGAAAGAGGGATTTAACCTTTAACACACATAACAGATATCTAATCTAACACAAAATAATCAAAAAATGGAAAGGAAAAAAAAGTGCCAGCATATGCATAAAAGTAGTTGTGTATCACTGCCTCTAATAGACAGTTTGAAAGACTGGCTAAGAATTGTAACCAGAAAGAAACACAACAATCAAATTCTTAACTGCATACTCAGATAGTCAGATAACAAGACACGCAAAAGTAAATTAGAACAAAACTAATGCAATTGAGCATCTAGTTTATTGAGATTAATGTCATACATTCTCTGCAAAGTAACCGAAAGTTGATTAATGCTGAACTTGATGGACGATAAACACATTTTATCAGTTGCTGCAGCATCTGCATCTACCGTTTGTACAGGATGAAACTCAGTTGCTTCATAGATATCCTACGCAACCAGATGCCAAATTATCACTTGGAGAAAAAACAAACTAGTAATGACTGTAGTAACTAGTAAGACATGAATCAATTTCATGTTTCATTCAGGTAGAGGGAAATGTGCTCGCCTTGAGTACATCATCTGAGATTATGCCTGAAAATTGGCTAGAATCATCTGTCCCACCAGCCCCGAGCATCCCACGGGATAGCCAATTCAACCACCCACGGGGCTTGTTGAATGTGCGCTCGCCTTCAAGAGATTTACTAGTATTCACATTGTTAGAAGTGTGAGCAAGTAAAATGTCCTGCAAACAGTATGAACCAGATGACTTTTTACTAACTGGCACTCGTTTCCATCACTCTCAAGTAAAAAATCAATAATCACATGAACTGCCTTAAGCTGGTAATGTATGCTAAGCAAATGTATTTCATGGTTCCATGTATCTCACTTATGACTTACCTGCAGTTCACGCTCTGCAGCAGATCTGTAACTTAAGATCTCATCAATATCTGATTCTTTCTCTATTTCTTCCAGCATGTGTATCACATCTTCAGGAATTACCTGACACTCAAAAAATACTTTTGGGGTATGTTTGGGAACATGGATTTGGATTTCAAATCCGGATTTGGCTCAAATTCCATGTTTGGAAAACTTAAAAATTTTGAACTTGGATTTGAGTCAAATTCTTCTCATTCATAAGAAAGCTTAATTTGAAATCCATGCACCTCTCCTTGTCATTTGAAATTCAAGATTTCAAATTTTGGAATTGAAATGCATGAATTGAAATGAAATGCTAGTTGCCAAACACTACCTTGTATAATTTGAAGAGGTAAATGATTTTTCTTACGGTCATCAGATGATCTTGGTAACAAATAGACACCAGCATGCAATTTACTCACAATATGAAAATAATTTTTGGTAGAAGAAATCAAGTGCTGAAAAAATTAAGAACTACTCCCTCCGTCCCACTCTTTTTGTCCACTTTCATTTTTGCACACCATCCAATGCACTTCTTTAATCCATTTTATCTTGTAATTTGTGTATTAAAAAATTATAAAAATTATATATTAATAATCTACATGTTAAGACAAATCAAACAAGATCACACATGACTATTTTTAGACTTACACATTGAAAGAATTTGATGAGTCAAAGTGCTTAGATGAACAGTTCCAAAAGTCAAAACTGGACAAAAAGAGTGGGACGGAGGTAGTAAAAGAAAACACTTAGGCTGGAAGTGGAGAGAAGAAAAGTCTAAGAAAAATGGTTTTGCAGCTAATCAATGCAGCAACAACAACAAACCCCGTAAAATTTCATGAAAAATAGGGTCTCAGGAGGGGGTGTACATAGACCTTACCCCTACTCAGAAGTAAGGAGGTTATTTCCAAGAGACCCCAGCCAAGCACAGACAAAGTACACCAAGAAAGTAAACACAATAGCACAAACAAAGTAAGATCAAAGAGCAAAACAAGAGCAGGAGCAAAGTAAGAGCACAAAGACAAGAAGCACACAATCCGACACTAATAACTAGACTCAAAGCAAGCAAGCAAAGACTAGAGTAAAAACGCACCATCATAAATGATAAACTAAGACCAAACGGTCTACCCAGGTACTCTAATCTTAAAGCTCTAGACGTTTAAATCATGTCAAAACATATCCTTCAAATCATTTCCTTCCAACTCTTCTTAGGTCTACCTCCAACCCTTCTCATGCCCAGTTGCCCACTACCATAAGTCTCTCACATTTTATTTGGAGCTTCTCTGCACTCCTCTGTCAAGGAACCAACTCAACCAAAAGCTCAAGCTTGTAGTTGTAGCCCGGGCTGCGTTCCGTTCTCCTCATCCGATCTGATTTATTGAAACTTTGATCTGATCTGGTATGATCTCATTGGATTTGATATAAATTTGATTGAAATTTAAATTAAAAGTATTATTATAATAGTTATAATAATAGTAATAATAATGGAAATATTAATAATAGTAATAATAATCATAATAGAAATAATAATAATAGTAATAAGAATAGTAATAATAATAATAACTACAATAATAATAATAATACTAAAAATAATAGTAATAAAAATAATAGTAATCATAATAATAATAGTAATAATTATAATAACAATAGTAATAATAATTATAGTCATAAATCATAATAATAATAATAATAGTAATAGTAATAGTAATAATAATAAAATTAATAATAATAATAGTAATAATAATAATTGAAATAATAATAATAACATTAATAATAATAACAGTAATAGTAATAATAACAATAACAATAGTAATAATAATTATAATCGTAATAATAACAATAGTAATAATAATAGCAGTAGTAATAATAACAATGGTAACAATAATAATATCATTAATTCAATAGTACTAATAATAACAATAGTCATAATAATTATAATCATAATAATAATAGATAGTAATAGTAATAACAAAAATGGTAATAATAATAATAATTTTGTTTAGATCTAATTTAATTGGACCTGAACTAATCTGGTCTAATCTGGTCTGATTAGATCTGATCTAGTCTAATCTGATTTTAATAAGAATAAGTAATAAGCAGAGAAAAAATAAATTGAACGGAACGTTACCTAGGAAAGGTTATTTATTTACTCTAACACGCCCCCTCACGTGCAGGTGTGACTTTTTTTAGCCTTGCACGTGAAACCTTAATTTTTTAAAAACTAGGTGTCGGTGAGTTATGAACCCGTGACCTCTTGGTCATAAGGCTCCAATACCATGTCAAGGAACCAACTCAACCAAAAGCTCAAGTTTGTGGTTGTGGCCGAAGAAAGGTTATTTATTTACTTAAGCATCCTTTTCTTGCACCCAAAATACCTATGTTGTGCTTCCCGCAGCTTATTCTCCCCAGGTGTCTCTCATCAATCCCTATATAACCTTGTTCTCAATTTTATCCATCCTTGTAAGACCACAGATCCATAGGCAACGAGTGTGAGTTTTCTTTGCAACATCGCACTTTACATTGTAAAGCATTGCCGGTCCAACACAGCTCGATAAAACTTCCCTTTTGAGTTTGTCAATATCTTCTTGTCGTAAAGGACACCTGCACCTAGCTTCCACTTTTCCCGAGTGGCTGCAATACGATTAACAACATATGCATCTATCTCCCCATTTCCCTAAATAACCGAACCAAGGTACCAAAACTTCTCTTTTAGGCACTGAGTGTGAACCAATCCTTATCTCCACTTTAGACTCTAACACCCAACCACTGAAGCAACACTATGTATTTTTAGTCTTACACTCTTAGTCATGCTAAATTGGAAGCCTATGGACTCCAAGGAGTGACGCCGCACTTCCAAGTTATCATTGGGTCCATCATGTGTCTCATCAATCACTACAATATAGTCAGCAAATAGCATGCAATAAGGAACTTCCTCTTGGACATTCAAAACACCCATCACTTATGCAAGCAAAAAAGGACTAAGGGTATACCCCTCGTGTAACCCCACCTCTACTGGGAAGGGGGGCCAGAGTCACCCCAGATAGTCTTCGCCCTAGTCCTCACCGTGTCACACATCTTTTTGACAACATGAATGTAAGCAACTGGAACCCCTCTAAACCCTAGACACTAAGACACCTCCACAAGATCTCTCTTCAAACCCTGTGGTGCACCTTCTCCAAGTCCATAAACCCCATGTGTAAGTCTTTCTTCTTGGCCATATACTCCTCCATTGACCTCCTGAAGAGCTGAATGGCCTCCATAGTAGCCAGGCATGAAACAAACTTCTATAATTATCACGACTCTGGATATCACATGTTTCCTTGTATAACGTGATCACCACTCTCCATCCATTCATCAAGCATCTTAGACGTCCAAAAAATAACATTGAAGAATTTAGTAACCCACACCAACCCACTGCTGCCCACAATCTTCTAGAACTCCACCAGAATCACATCCAGCCCCAAGGCTCTCCCCCCTATCATCTAGCAAATGGCCCTCACCACATCTACTTGACTAATCCGCCAGCAATAATAAGTCTTAATGCCTCTCAGTTCACCCAGCTCACCTAGTACCAACCTCCATTCCCATGGAGAACTCATAAGCCCATGAAAGTAAGCCCCCCACCGATGCAGTAGTGTTAAAATGTTATGAAGAAATGAAAACATTTAAATAAACTAAGGTTGGAGAAAAATGAACCACTGAATAATGAGCATCTACAGAAACACATAAATAAGCTGTTGGCGTTACTACAAGAAAAAAAACTGCAGGACTAATAGTAGAAGGTCAAACTTTCACATGTAAAAATGTTTTAATGTTAATCTGTACATGTGTCAAATTTATTGACTTCTCCTACTCCCTCTGTCCATTCTTTATCTTCCCGGTTTGACCGAGCACGCATATTAAGATGTGATAAAAATAGTGTTGACTTTCCTATTATACCCCTAACCTGTCTACCACATCCTTACGTCTCTCCATCACCGTGAACAATCTGCCATTGCCAACACCACCGCTGACGACTCTCCGGCACCACCACGGATGACCTATCTGGCTGTTGCCACCATCCCCTTTGCAACCCACCCTCGTAGATCTGTTCTGGATCTTCTCGTTGAAGACAGCCCGAGCAAGGATGAATCTCTTCTACATGTTCTCATTGAACACAACACAACAGCGGAAGAGCAGATCCCAGGTTTTGACGGCAAAAGGTAAGACTAGGAGTATCGCAAAAGATATGGAGTGGGTAGGTGAGGGTTTTTAGCATAAAAAAATTACCAAAAAAGGAAATGGGAAGATGATTATTGGACGGATGAACAAGGAATGTGGGAAGATAAAAAATGGACAGAGGGTGTATTTCATGTTGCCCTCAATGTGGCTTTCTGGATAATCTTCTGTGTGACGTTATAAATCAATTCCAGTTCCCATTTGCCGTTGTAGTTATAGTCCCTATCTTACTATTACAACTCCCGATTATTTTCTCAATGTGGCAATGTGCCACAATATCCTACTGTGACTAAACTTGCAATTGCGTGATGCACATCCTAGTTTTCTATTATTGCTCTAGTTGCAATTTCACTTATCAACTGCAGTTCCCAGTTCTAGATTCAAATGTGTAGTTTGGTTTCAAAACACAGCATCCCATCAACTAGATCCCAAGGATGAGTGTCAGAATAGTTAGAATCTTCTTGAATCAAGGTTACAATGTTGATATGTAATAGAGGTTAATGGGTATACTTTCTTTTTGCAGTTTGTTGAATTATTAAGCATGGGTGATATGTGTGTTGAAATTCCCTAGATGAATGAACATGGTGATTTTCTCTATGCTAGTGATATACTCTAGACGCACTCATTCTCTATTACATATATATGCATATATGTGTGTGTGTGTGTGAGCGTGTGTGTGTTTAATCATGAGTTTTCTTCAACTGTTCTAGTCAAAACATTATGATAACAGTGCCTAACAATGTTTAGGCACCCCCCCCCTCCCCCCTCCCTATTTTATCACTTTTGAGAGGAGTTTTCCCAACGCTAAAGCCCCGGGTCATCTAAAAGAGCTTAAGTGAGCGACACAGACTTTTTCAGCCACCGATCTCCTGATATCTCTATGCAACTATGCCAACAAGATAAACGTTTACATCTCTTCACATCATTTTCATCTTAACTCTTGTTACTTGTGAAGTTTTACCTTAGACCTTACTGTCTACAGTACTGCCTAGTTAGGTTGTGCTTGGTGACTTCCCCAAAGTGGTAGACTCTCTTATCCAACTTCACTTCAAAAGAGATAAAGCAAAAAACTCAATGGAAAGATTGTAGATTTTTCCGCAATTGGCGCTGCTTAGTCACAACCATGGCCAGTGAATGTTGTTTGAAACACCAGCTTATATTTTTGGAAAAAGGGTCAATAATATAATAAATTCATAACATGACCAATCACATATAACCCAGTCTAAAATCTACAGACACACACACATACACACAATATGTTGTGCATTTCAATTTTTGATTTGTGCTGCTTATTATAATCTAGTATGCACGTCCTCCTCCGCTTAGCAATGAAGCGTGTTGGTTCAGTCCAAGAAAGTAAGGCTTGTCAACCTAGGATTTAGGCTCATGGATTATGGTACTTTGTGGCTTTTAGCATGTTTTGCAATTAAGGAAACACAACCCATATTCACTCCATCCATGAACTCTGAAACCTATTACAATGCTAGTAAAAAATGTAGGTCAAGGGCTCCTGGTCCCCCTATTTAGTCAATTTTTTCACTTTACTCGGTACTCCAAGCAGCCATGTATGCTCCATAATAAGAGCAATCATTATCGCCCTCTTGTGCCTTTATCCGGTAAATGTTAGGATAGGTATATTAACACATACAGTCAACATCAAGGCACGGCAACTTTTTCAAGGGAAAAAAAATTAAATTCTTGCAAATAGATTTAACTTCGAAAAAAGGTTTACCTGCTCTTGTTGAAGGCACTTCAGTTTTGTCTTGTATAAGTTTACATATTTCCGACGAACATTTCTGCCAAGACGTTGAGGGCATGAATTGCATTTCGTAAGGGCAAGTATTTTAATTCAGCACAAGACCAAAATAACAACATGTGGTGTCAAGCATTAAATCGCAACGACTACACAGAATTGACATGTATCCACATTATAAAACTACAGCATCTCTCCAACTTACAGCCTCGCTCCAAGGTACTTCCAAGAAGTTTTCCTTAATCTCTTGTGAATATCGAAGAGAACGGAATTCAAAGCATAGTGCCACCATGCAATTTGCCACCCTTTCAGTTTTTTATCCAGAGGGCTCCACCAAGGACGATATCGCCCATACCTACAGATTGAACATTCAAACCTAAGGATGGGTATTCAAACAAAGGCATACCAACATTTGGGGTGATAAAGGCAAAAAAGCAAGAAGGTTGAAAAGAAATTAGTTTAAACTTACTTCTCTCGCAATTGAGATGTCAGCAAATAATCACAAAAGCTCATGACTTGTTGTATTTGAACCTCATCCACATAAATGAGCTAAACACATGCCATAAAAGATGTTGCTAGCCACTTTACTCAAAAACACAACCACTTAGCTAGTTTGCTTACAATGCAAAGAAGGAAGAATTCTACAAACCATGCTTTTTAACTGAATATTTACTAAATACTGTGGAGCGCTGCTGTCAAAACCACCAGATCTATTCACCTATATGCAAAGAGGTAAAAATTAGTCACACGGAAATCATTGGCAATAGATTATCTATCACTGACAGTATCATTAGCAAACATGATTGTATCAAGGTGATGCAAGAAATACAGAGGGCAAGAAAGATAAAAAAGCATAAAAAAACGTGTGAAGTAGAACTTATTAAGAGTATTTACATGTTCCTGGTACACAATGGTCTTGTTTGGGAACAACATTTTCGATTAGCGTTAGCATTTTAGATTTTTAAAAAACAAAAAAAAAATCTGATAGAGGCACCAATTTGGCTGCCCAGAAGATCGAGAAAGATAGCAGTGTACTATAGGTTTAAAGATTATAAGGATCCGACTCGGTGAGAGGGCGAGGATAAGTCAAATTTTTTAAAAATTGGGTTTTTAAAATTTTAAATGGCCTAATGGACAGGGCGTCTAGGCGCTAGGCGACGGTAAGGTGATGCTTTGGCAAACAACTTAAATCCACGGCAAAGCGCCTTAATGCGTAAGTGACACCTTAATAACTATGATCTTTACAAACTTAGCAGGTTATTGAAATTATAATTGAGCTGGTATGAAGGTATGTTGAGAACTTGCAAGGATGTTTTGCTACGAACCTGATGAACACAAAGGAATTAAGTACGAGAATGTAATGAAAAGATCTTGAGTAAGCAGTTCAGTATGGAACCACTACAAGTATTTAGAGCTTGTTCTCTACGTCAAACCTGATTGGATCTCATCTCGTTTTATTAAGGTCTAGTCTGATCTGATTATAGTTATATATTTAAGAAATAAGAATAAGTTGAAGAGAACAAGCTCTTATAGAGTCAACGATGAAGGGAAGAGGTCTCGAGCACTCGATGAAGTGTCCGTAGGTTAAGACGAAAACAACCCAACAAAATCCCAACTCTGTTAAGGTTAGGGGGTCTCGATCACTTTGTGTACAGAGTCTTGCCTCGTAAAACAGAGAAAATGTTTTTGTTAGACATAGAGCATTGCCGCATTTACTGCCCAAACTTCATAGAAAGTAAGAAGAACATGAAGAAGTTTAATGTGTCATTTTGATTTAGTCCTTTAGGTACCTGAAACTAAGACATTGTCAATAATATATGCACATACCGAGAGGCACAGTGAAACATCCAATGGGGCCAATAAATTAACTTTCTCACTAGCTTGAGATATTGCACTCTCCCAAGTTTTTGAATCCACAGAATTGCCTACACTTCTTGATTTATCAGACCCTTGATATGTATAGCAGTAGAGTTCCAGCCCTTGAACTTCAACAATTTTGTTCACATGGCTTCCCCTCACTTTCCCACCAGAACTGAAAGAAAAATACATCAGCCAAAAGTTGAAAGCATAACAAAAACTGGAAATATTGTTTAAAAACTTTTGGAGAACCAATGACTAAAGCAAATCATCTATTTTGCTCATTATCTTATAATTATCTTATAAAAACCTCCAGAGGTTTAAATGTCATATTTAAGAGCACCAAAACTAGAAATCCATTAAGTTATCATAAAGTCATGACTTGATGACAATAATCATCTGCTTAAAGAGACTAAGCAAGCAACCAAGCAAAAGAAATGAAAAGGATTTTTTTACATCCTTGTCCTTGTCAAATGCTCCGCCAGGAGACAGTGTTAAGGTTTACGTTATCAGATAAAAGTTCAAGCTAATGGTTACACCATGTGCTTCACACTTTTCTTTTTGACCGTCCAAGAGTTTTCTTCTCATTTCCTTATTTAGAATATTATTTTGCACTGAGTAGTAAATGTCCTGTTCATAAGATTCACTATTTTTGGCTTTGGGGTAAGATGGAACAAAGCAAAATGGCTATGTACAATTTACTGCACTTCCTTTAACAGTGAAGTAGCAGTTAGTCAATGTAACTTTCGGCACTCATGATGGGTCATGTGGAGACAGCCGCTCTATGCTTTAAACATAGGGGTCAAGTGTGTACATGGTACATCCGACCCCCCTTATCCCACAATGGGCGGGAGCACTTGACGCACTAGGTCAATGTTGTTGTATTATATGTTCTATGTGCCCTTTCTCATCTACCATTCTACCCAAATTACTTCCTGTCCATTTTCTTCTTCTTCCTTTTTTTTCCAGCCACATACCCTAGCCGCCAACAACCTTTACCTCAATCCCTGCCCCCCACTCCTCAATTTCTTCCACCAGCCGCCGCCTCCACACTTTGTCCCAACCCCTATGAGCATCCTCCAACCCAATTTCTTCTTCTTCCCACCCCACCCAAGTTCCCAACCCTGGATCTTATTTCACTATAGCATTTCTTCTTCTTCCTTCAGCTTCATTATTGTTGTTGCACCGTCCATGGAAAATGAGATGCAGAAGGAGCTGGCAACCTTGACTGAAGGAGCAGCGGTGGGAGGAGTAGACAGCGGCGGTGATTAGGCAGTAGCTGTGATTAACCTTCAATGATCTAGTACCTTATTTAATATATCAACAAAACTATTTTCCATCTCTTCAAGAAAGTCAGCAGCGCTGCGGTTATGGCAGCCAGTGGCAGCACGGCCATCTCCCTGTTCGACGTTTCACCATACCATCTCCATGTTCAACATTTTTGGCCAACTATCCCAGCGATAAAGTAGTAAACAGGACAAATGAGTGAACAGTACGGGTATTAAGGAAAATCAGAGTTATTTTTAATTCTCCAAAGTAAGTGTTCTGGGTCAACTTGGGAAGTTAGTTCCAGGATGGATGGAGTATTTGTTATGCACATCTTTATTTTTTGTTTATAACCAACTCCATCACTCATGTTTGGGCCAAATATTTGTTGATAAGCCAAATACGTAGAAACATGTTGAATGTGTTGGTAACAGGTGGTGTGTTTGAGACTAGAACCTTTTGCCTCCAAAGTATGTACTCCAACTAAAAGTTCAAACCTAAGATAAACATGTATTTCATATATTTCCTCAAGAAATACCAATTGGGCAACCAGAGCATTGCTGAGGAGAATACCCAAAAAGGTGCTGCTTCATGATTGTCAAGCTTGAAAACTTCAAACCAAACCCAGTAACTCCCTGTAAAAACATAACTTTCATCAACGGAAAATAATAGAGGAATAATGGTAATACAGAGTACTAGGGCACTGATGCAGCAGCATAAATGCCAAGAAACCAGCAAGCTAGAGGACTAGAGCACTATGGCATCGGAATTAACAAACCAAAAAAACTGGAGCACTAGAGCACTTACACACTACTCTCATCTCCCCACAATAATTATTGTTGGTATATATGGAGGTTGCAGATAGTCTAAAATATCCAATTAATCTGAAAATGGCTGTAGGTTTTTTGAGGAGAGTGAAAATGTTCTGCATGTAGTACTGCATTACTACTTTATTAACTCTGTATGACAGTATCTAGTGAATATTTTTTGCAACCTTCAAAACATAAAAGAAAGAACATGTGGAATGAAGAAAGTTGAGTGGGGAGACAGAAAGCTTGGACAATAAACAACAATGTCCATCATAATAAATGTGTGAGTAAATAAGTGTATCATTGTACCAACATTCATGGATTAGAGCAAAAGAAAATGAAATGCACAAAAATCAGGAAAAACACAAAAAAGAAAGGAAAAAACAAAAATGGAATGCTATGGAGGCATAGTTTTACCGAAGTAGTATGCATGTCGCGATAGAGAATGTGCATGTTCCTGATAGACACTTGGATGTTCTCAAGAATCTAAGAAATTGGAAGACAAAACAAAATGATAATGAGAGTAAAAATATCACAAGGATAAACAAAATAATTTAGTGAAGCCCTGTTTCATTGAAGTACAGTAACTATACTACCTTTGCAGTAATGTATGAAATAAATGATTTTCCGGCCTGACTATCTGTGGAATATAAAGCACACTATCAGCCAAGGTATAATAATTTCAACGATGAGACACATTTTGGTAGATATCAAGTGTCAACGGAATGGCAAAACTAAATTCCTAAAATCTGTCAGGGACACCAAAAATACCAAACCCAGTGTAATCCCACAAGTGGCAAGTGGAGTATTGGGAGGTTAGGTGTTATATCTCAGCTCCGGGTTTTATAGTTAAAACCTCTTTATTTGCAGGGAAGGGGAGATAATCGATTGTCCTGAGTGGATAATCGATTGTTAAGGGCTTCAGGTTCTTGGGCGGTTTTTTGGGGATGTTCTGGGAGGGGGGATAATCGATTTACAGTAGCAATAATCGATTATTTGACAGTTTTCTGGGCAGGAAGAAGGGTGTTTTTGTGGGGAATGGACTGGAAATATATGGAGTTGATGAGGGAGTTCTTTTGGGTATTTTAATGGAAGAAAAGAGTGAGATTAAGAGGAGAAATGGGGAGGTATGAAATGGAAGAAAATCAGGGATGGATAAACCAAGTTGGTGTTTAAGAGATATTACACACTCTTATCCTAACTTGGGGTTTGAATCTAGAATTTAATTAAGATATGACACACTTAATCAAAATCTAGAACCTAAAACTCACACTTAAGATAACCACTCTTAAGATATAGAATTAGGAATTTGGCTAAAATAGCATCACACTATTTTATAAATACTCAAAGAGTAAAAGGAGTTTTTTAATAATTCAGAGATGATCATTACAAGGGCCAAATGGCCGAAATATATAAGGAGGGGAGAGGAGGGAAAACACACAATATAATGAATGCAAATACAAGGAACCTTCCTACATCCCTTTATCATTCACTAGCTTCCAATCTTGAGTTGATAAGGGCTGATTTTGTTTGACTTTGTCTTGGCTTTGGAGCTGGCTTTGTCTGTCCTGTTGTGGAGGCAAAAATCACAAAGA